CGCATTTCGCAAGGCTCTAAAATCATACCTACTGGAGAGAGCCCTATATGCGGTAAACGACTTTTTTGTTGATGTTTAATTATGAACAATTTTGAATTTTAAAATTTTTATCATCTCACACACTGGTCAAAGGTCAAGTATTTAATATTCTATAACTTTAAAATTATATCTATTTACTGCGTACTGTTCTGAAATTTTCCATGTATATTCTTTTCGTAATTTTAAAGACTTAAATTTTTTTGAATTGTATTATTTGTATTGTGTATTTTTTGTTGTTTGTATTTTTTTGCGATTTTGTTGTTTGTGAGTGCTTTGTCGATGAAGCTGTTTTGGCTTTTTGCACAATAAAGCGTTGTTTGTTTGTTGTTTGTTAAACTAGCACAAAGGAAGCATATTTTCTTAATAACATTTTTCAAAAAGTTAACAAATAAGGGAGTTGGGGGGTGGTGGTGGTCGATTTTTCAACCAGAGCCTGTTAAAGTAAATAGATAATATTTACTGATCTAATACATACAGGGTGGCCCATCGAAAACGTTCCGCAAGGCATAACGGCTAAGGTATTCTTTTTTTCAAAAAATGCAAAAACACGTCAATTTTGTTTGTGAGGGGGACAACTTTTGCCCCAAAAATGATTGCAAAATCTTCAACCCTCCAAGCGGGGGTGTCATCCCCCAACTTTTTTCAAATGGGAAGGGGGTCAAGTAGCGTCGCAATGAAAAGAGCTTTCTATTCTCTATATTTCCCCGCCTCGTTTTTGAAAATCGGCCGAGTCATTGAGAAAATATGAAGGATTGAAATTTGAAAAGTTTATTTAAACATTTATCAGAGTAAATGATAAGGATAAATTCCTTCGATTGATTTGAGTTTTTTTCATATTATTTCTAGATGTTTACGCAGTTTTTCACTTGCCATAAGGTTGAACGATCATTCGTTCACTCATAGTTTCACAAAATTGCAAGCGACGATCAAAATCGTCTTCGTTGAGTTCTTGTACCAACTGAATTTTGTACGAGTGGAACTTGTGTTTTTTTAATATACTTTAGACACTTGTACGATTCACGCCGGTCTCATTGGCTAATTTTCTTGTACTCAGCGTACTATCCATGGCAATTTGGCCCAATACGAATACCTGCATAGCTTCATTTACTACAGGATTTTCCCTCTGCCTCTTTCTATTCATAACGGCACGGAACCAGTTTCGCGAAATTTTGTTACCAACTCGCGAACAATTTTGCCATCAAGGTATTTGTCAAGATGGCAATCATTGAATATCTGCGCAACCCGATTGCCACATTCATTATTTTTATAATAAAGTTCGATTATTTCTACTTTTTCTGCAAGTGAGTACACCATAATTATTAAAAAGTTAAACGATATTGAGAAGAACTTGCATAAGTCACTGAACAGCTATCTAGCAACTACCGCACCTGGGGCCTGTAACTAGTAGTGGGAACTATCGAATGAATACTATCGAAACATTCGATAGTTGCAATTCATTCGAATAATTCGATAGTTAGTAAGAAAACATTCGTTGAAAACTATTCGAATAAAAATTATCGAATAGATCCGTCATCTGCCTTGAAATATTGTATTCTAGTAATTCGGCAGCAAAAACCATTCATTTATAAAATCCATTCATTTATGAAATTCATTTATTCGTCAGGATCGATTATAATAAAATATTAACTGAATTTTAGTTGTCGCCCGGCGACGTAGGTTTCTTTCCGAGAAACCCGACAGCGGTCGGTGGCATTGCTATGAAAGAAGCCGGCATGTTTGATTTTTTGCGGAGTCAGATATAGATAAGGGCACATTATTTTTTTATTGAGGTGCTAGTATTTACACAGAAAATACATTATGAAGGGCGCTGTTGCCATATTTTGGTATTAGTTGATATTAGCAAAGAATATTATTGTTTGGCTTTAGTTAGTTAGGGATAGTATGTCTATATATTCTGCTTTTTTTATTAATATTCTGTTGTTACACTGCAATAATACTTGTTATTTTGGATGTAGGAAAATGATTTTTAATGTTTTTAAGCAAAGACTGGTTTAATAAATACTAATAACAGTAATAATTTGTTATACCTATTAACAACAAAATTTAAAATCATTTAATATAAACATTTTTTTTAAGTAGTAGCAAAATATAAACAAGAAATTAGATGTCAAAATTATATATATTAGATCCTATTTAAAAATAATATAGTCTCTAAATTTTTGTGTGTGGCAACGTTGGTTTATTAAATAATAATAATTACAGAACTAATTTGTTATATTAACAACAAATTTTAAAATCATGAAATATAAACATTTATTAATTTTCTAAGCATGCAGTGTAATGGAAGAAAATATAAATAAAAAATTAGAAATCAAAATTATTTATATTAGGTGCTTTATATTACTATTTAAAAATTATATTTACTTTTACTGGCATTTACTTTAAAAAATAAATGAAATATTTCTTCGCAAAAAACTACATGTAAGAGAATTAGCATAAACAAAATACAAACATCGTTAACTTTTTTTTTAAATTGGCACGTATAAAACTTTCAATTTAATTTTCTCACCCCATAGTTTGAGTTCGATAACCCCATTTACTTAACCACATTACTTAAATATGATTATTAAGTTCAACTAATTCATATTATTAAAACATCTAAAATACAAATATGTATTTTTAAAATTAATTGTAAGTTCATCTCATCTCTCTTAAAAATTGCTACTTCTCAAAATTTCCCATTAAAAAATAGACCATATAAAATTAAATAATTGAAAGATCGGACTACGGAAAATCACACAAATTTTCGGAAAAATTTTGACCACCTGCACATGCACTCAATCGTCAATAAATAAAATTAAAAATAAGTACTATTTTAGTATTTTAACTATTTTAATAAACGCAAAAATAGCACAGTATTTATACGGCGAAGTTATAAGAATTTGGAAGAACTAATAATGCACTGACGCATACAAAAATCAAACGAATACTAAATTTCATTTATCAAAAGCATTCTATAGTCGTGGCTCAACGATAACCATTTAGTTGTACGGCGAGGTTGTCACATATGCTTTAGTATACAAATGAATGAATGATTTTATTCGAATAAAACCATTCGATAGTTGAAATCATTCATTCATTAACCATTCGATAGTCTAATCATTCGATAGTTCCCATCGCTACCTGTAACACAAGACCTACAAGTGCTACACTTAAACGCTTTTGGATATAGACTTGTAAAGTTTCGTAACACACGGCAACTTGTACTTACCTGTGTAGGACTTATAATTACGGAAAATATTTTACAATTGTAGTTCTGTTCTGTAACTCAAAGATAACACTTGTAAGTTTATGTTACGCATTCCATTACAATTGTAGGAAAATTTTAACCATGCTTAAAAGGTGGGTACAAAATTCTACAAGAAACAGTTTAGAAGAAGTCGTTGCTTTATTCACACGTCTAGCGCAATGTGGTCAAGTTCAAGTGATGACGAAAATGTTGAAAAAAGTTTGCCATATCGATTCAGAGAGAGAACTGACTTTGCATTCCTTTCCGATAAAGAATTTGAGGAGCGATTTCGACTAAGTAGAGCGCAATGCCAGGATCTCGTAGAAGACCTCTCCCGGGAGCTACAAAAACAGCAGTAATCGGTGGTATGGGCTGCAGCCTCTACAGAAAATGTTGATTGCACTACACTGGTTAGGCAATGGGGGACAAATTTTTCGCATTATCCAATTTTAACTAAAATAGGAGATTTAAAGAATAGATACTAACAAATACTCCGTTCTTCAGCGATATATGAAAAAGAAACAAAAGCTTTCACTATACTATAGTCATAGTATATGTATGTGCAAGCTAATAGCAGGCTAAATTATTATGGATTAGTAGGTATTTTTTTGCAAAACACTCTATGATTATAACATACACTAACAAAACAGATACGCGATTAGAAGCTTTCTGTTTTTGTAATTTTGAGAATCTGTTTTAATCCAAAATACAACATAAAAACACTGCACTCTTCTTTAGATTTTGCCAAAGGGTATCTCTTGCGCATGTCCAATCTTTCTCTAAGGGCATTAAGCATACGCTTTGAGGACGAGAAGCTAACTCTTTCCATTGCTTCACCTTGTCTTTTTTTCGAAGAGTATCCGAGAATGCCCCAAAAAGAACCTCTTTATTTTCTTTAATTTGCATAAGCCATTGCATTTTTCTAGCAAACACCGCTTGTTTCGAAGACATTTTTACCAAAATTAATTTTAGAACGAACTTGTCTAAACAAGTCCTTTATCCCCATACGCAATAATACACAAACGAACGTTACCGATCTAGTGCGTCCGTCCTACAACTCTTGTGCGCTTTAGCTACACTTGTTAGAAATATTCGCCGTTATTACAAGGCATTTTGAGAACTTTGTGTTACAGAAATTAACACGAATTGTAGCCACAAGTGAATCTTCAACAAGTTCTACACTTGTTACAGTTGTAGATTTTGAGTTACAGGCCCCTGATCGTTCAACCTTGTGGCACGTGAAAAAATGCGTAAACATCTAGAAATAATAAGAAAAAACAGCAAATTGGTCGAAGGAATTTATCGTTATCATTTACTCTGATAAATGTTTAAATAAACTTTTCAAATTTCAATCCTTCATTCTTCTCAATGACTGGACCTATTTTCAAAAACGAAGCCGGAAAGTATAAAGAATAGAAAGCTCTCTTCATTGCGGTACTCCCCTTCCCATTTGAAAAAAATGGGGGATGACACCCCGCTTAAAGGGTTGAAGATTTTGAAATCATTTTTGGGGCAAACGTTGTCCCCCTCACAAACAAAATTGACGTGTTTCTGAATTTTCTGAAAAAAAAATTACCCCGGCCGTTATGCCTTGCGGAACGTTTTCGATGGGCCACCCTGTATAATGTATAAACTGTATGAATCAAAAATCAAAAGTAAGGAAAAAAGCTTGAGAACTTAAATCTCCTTAATATATTTATTTATTTTCCAGAATTAAGAACAGCGTTTGACCTATTGGATCGCAATCAAGATGGAAAAGTCACCACTAGAGAATTTAAAATAATGTTAAATAATTTAGGTATAGACGTAAAGGAAACCATAATAGAACAACTAATTAAAAGCGCTAGCCATGCGGGTAAGTAATCAAAATTGTAAAAAATCTGTTATCGAAATTTAAAATTTTATCCTTCATTTTCACAAAATGTGAAATATGTCAAAATCCTTAGATTTTAGGTATATGCTTCTTTAGTAAAACTCTTTAAACCTTTATTTTTTTTCCTAGAATCCGAAAATGAACTAATATATAGGGTGTTCCATTAGAAAAAACACAACATTGATGTGTAACTTTTTTTGGGGACACCCTGTATAATCCTATATATTTTTTATAAAATGCTTTCAGTTAACCTACATGTGCTACCAAAATTTCATTTCGATATAAACAATATTAAACAATATTTTTTATTTTCCTTTTTTGTAATTAGTATCAGGCATTATTTTCCATATGTGTTTTAGGTAAAGAATTAATTGACGAGAATGATTTTCTCAAGTTCGTCAAGCAAATTCAAGATTTGTTTCCGGTGAGGAATAATACGTCGGAAGACGAAGAACAAGACTTGTTGGCGGCGTTTAAAGTTTTCGATTTGGACAATGACGGTTACATCACAAAAGACGAACTACGAATAGCGATGGAGATGATAGGAGAGGAGATTTCGGAGGATCAGCTAAACCATATTATGGAAATCGCCGACACTGACAAGGATGGAAAAATTAACTACAGAGGTGCGTTTTTAGTATTCTAAATACTTTCGTTTAGCTGAAATCTGTTATATAAAAAATGACTTTATACAGGGTGTTTCAAAACAAATGCGAAAAACTTTAGGGGGTGATTCCTTGTTCAAAATAAAGGGTAGTTTGCTTTATAAACGTTGGGTCAAAAGTCAACCATTAGGGAGATATCGCGGTACAAAGATGGCGGAAAAATAATGTTTTTATTTTTTATCTTGAAAACGAAAAGAGATAGACTAATGAAATTTTATGGAAGCATTACTGTTATGAAAACACACTTTCAGGTAATTTTTTTACTTTTTTAAAAAGAGTGGAAGGGGTTGAAATAAACTACCCCTATCATTCTTGTTAACGAAATTTAAAGAAAAATCTTATCAAACACATGATAATTTCAGTTATTATAAGTGCGAAATTTGGATTTTTTAAACTAAAGAAAAATATAAGTTAGTTAAAACAGAAGATTTTAGAAAGAAACTGAGTTTTTAATTTTTTTCATATTGTTCCACCACTTCAAAAAATTCCTGAGTGTAGAGAAGTATAAAAGACATATTCTGACGATTTTTAGTGAGTGACATATTTCACAAAGGTTAAAAAAATGAACATTTTAGTTTTCTTTCCTCCACTAAAAATCGGCTTTTCGTTTAGGAATCATGATCATATTATTTTTTCATGTCTTAGACTTATAAGAATTAGAAAAAAAATAATCAATAATTAATTTTTAATTTTACTATACCAATAAATGAACATTGGATTTAAGATGTCCCCAAAGAAAGAAGTCTAAGGGTGTTAAATCCGGTGATCTTGGAGGCCATTCAGTTGGTTCACTTCTGCCAATCCATGTACCCGGAAATGTCTCGTTTAACCACTGTCGCACCGGAAGAAAACAAGGTGGAGCACCGTCCTTCTGGAATATTAACAAACCCTCCTATAAAAGTGGATTACCCTCTGCATCAATTTGAGTTTCATTTTATTTATTCATCAATTGAATAAATAACTTGGGAAAAGAAACGTTAATGGTTATGATGTTTTCTGTTTATTAATATTTCGACCCCCCTAGAAAAATGTAATGGCTACGTCCATGTTACCACCTAATCTTCTAATCATTTATACTACAAAGAGACCCATTGCAATAATTTTTGTGTAAACAGACTAGCCTGAAAACCAAAATCTCAATGCGGGCATATTTAATTATTGTTTCTGCAACTTTGGAACGGGATTATTCGGAAACCTCTGGACAAAAAGCAACAAAGTAGGATATCATTGAAAAGAGAATTAAAAGCCCTTTAAAACGATGTTCATATTTTTAACTGCAAGAAAGATATTAATGGTGGGAAGTTTTCAAATTGATACAGTGTATAATCAGGTCTATAATTAGTCCCTCACTTCTGAGAACCACTATCTAGACTATCTAGCACAGAATATCTAGCTACGCAACAGAAAAATACTGGAAATGAAAGAGCTAAAATTGCACAAATAGAATACTAGATGGCGCGACAATATCATAATCAGAATATAATTGGAAATTTTGAACATTCGGTTTTGGATCGACGGCACGTCGACGGCCTTGTAGCTTGGCTATATATGCACAGTTGCCAGATTCGAAAAGACTTTAATTGGCACTACCTTATAATGTTAACTAAGAAAATAACTTTAATTACCTTTCCTTTAAAATTAATAATATACTGGGCGATTGATAGTGATATTTATTAATGCTGGAACGTTTATTTTAAAAAGTCACACAGGTACAATTAATAAATATATTAGTTCGGCATAAAAGTTGCTGTCACGACATCGTACAATAAATTAAAATTCGTAAAATTAATTTAATTAAACAAATCTTTATAAAGCAACGCAAGTATACCAAATTTGGGCCCAATCGAACTCCAGAAAATGATATCATAATATTGTACTATATTATGGTACCACTCCATATGCCTCATAATATTGCAATGTCACCGAAGATCCGTAGTATACCAAATTTAAACACAATCGAACGCCAGGAAATAAAAAAGGTACCACTTTATATGTATAAAGGTAACCACCTTATATGGGTACCACTTTATAAGTTCAAGTCCAATCGAACGCCAGGAAATGGTATCGTAATATGGTACTACATTATGATACCTCTTGATATGCTTCATGGTACCATAATATTGCAATGTCATCAAAAATACGCAAGTATATATAAAATATGAGCTCAATCGAACGTCAGGAAGTGGTATCATAATATGGTGCTATAAAAGGTGCCACTTTATATGCATCATAGTACCATCATATTACAATGTCACCGAACATACGTGGTATACAAAGTTTAAGCCCAATCGAACACCAGGAAATGGTATCATAATATGGTACTTGGTACTATATTAAGGTACCACTTTATATATATTATGGTACCATAATATTGCAATGTCATCAAAAATATGCAAGTAAAATCAAATATGAGCCCAATCGAACGTCAGAAAGTGGTATCGCAATATGGTACTATATTAAGGTACCATTTTATATGCATCATAGTACCATCATATTTTACAATGTTACCGAAGATACTTAGTATACCAAGTTTAAGTCCAAAGGAACCCCAGGAAATGGTATCGTATATGGTACTATTATGGTACCTCTTGATATGCTTCATGGTACAATTATATATCAAATATGAGCCCAATCGAACGTCAGGAAGTGATATCATAATATGGTACTATAGAAGGTACCACTTTATATTTATGCTCCATGGTACTATAATATTACAATATCACTGAAGATACGTAGTATACCAAGTTTAAGCCCAATCAAACGCCATGTATCGTAATATGTCATAAAAAATACGCAGGTATATATCAAATACCGTATAATAGCGAAAAAAACGGCGTCCAGTTGGCTGGGAAATGACGATCGATAACATTTCCCATATAAATTTACATATAAAATTACAGCGATTTTCATTTCATAGCCTAACGCCGTTTTTTCGCGATCATACGGTATGAACACAATCGGACGTCAGGAAGTGGTATCATAATACTAGAACAATACTTATTATATTGTCGCCGAATTACAATCAAAATTCAGGATTCAATTATAATCAAACGTCAGAAAGTGATTGTAATTCAGCTCTTAAGATTTAACTCCAACTAACATGGCAAGTTAAATACATAAAAGTTTGAAAAAAGAGCACTGATCTATTTTAATATGTTTAAATGATGTAGCCAAAAATATTTAAACTCGGTAGCAAATTTGAAGGTAGGCTTTATCGGAAGTTTTACAATATGAATTACACAATGGCAACACTGCACAAAATTCTTTTAAATTTCATTTGTAGAAAACTGTTTTCTTTTAAATTTATCGCCCTCTATTATGTAGTAGCTAAACTACCGCATCAAAATATCTGATTTGGAGACAGGCTTTAAAACCCTGTCTCCTTTTGATACCTACGAATTTATAAATGTAACGAGGCTTCTGTTGCGTAGTTAGATATTCTGTGCTATCTAGATAACGATTTTTTTAAATTTTGTGTGTGTTAAACAATTAATGTTAATAACAAGACCCTAATTTTATTTTTATTTTTTCAGAATTTTCTCACCTTATGACTGAAGGACACAAATTATAAAAATAAAAGATAATGAAAACACAGTGAGACTTACCAGTCCATATTCGTTTTTATTGTCAACTAATGGGCTGAAGGCTGATATATATATTTTTATTTCTCCTTGATACATGTTGATATTCTATATAAATTGCATTTTGACAAATAGAAGAAAAAAAGGTTCTATAGAGTATTATTAAACAAATTATTATAAGTACTTTAATAATAAAATTTATTTTTTAATTTATCTACACTATGTTTTTCTCCCAATTTTAATGATTGAGAAGGATTTAAATATTTTAGCATTGTACATAAGCTTTAGAGCTATAATTAGTTTTATAAATGTAAATAAAATAAAATAAATACTTGTAACTTTATTTTTACTTATTTCAATAGTATGTATAAATAAAGTAAAAAAAAGAAATGACTGAAAAACTTTTTTGGGAATGTACATTTTCAGTTAATTGTATAAAGCAAAAAAATAAAAAACAAAAATTAAAAATTTTGATTTTCAAATATTTTATAGTGAAAAAAGTAAATCAATAATATACAGGGTTGTTCACCACATACGACACGGAGCATTGTAGCTAAACGATTAGATTTTTACAAATTGTAAGGTTTGGGTTCGTTGAAGGACTATTAGAGCTACAATCTAAAAATATTTTTACAAGATACAGAGTGTCCCAAATAAGTTAAAACTATTATAGTTGTATTTTTTTAAATGGAACACCCTGTATATTATTATATTTTTAGATTCTACGATTAAAATAAAGGTAAATTTGATTAAGGTTTATCACACTTAAACCTTACCGTTTTTGTAATATTTTCAATTTTATGAAATTGCAGTAAAAATTTTAAGGCTTCATTTCTCCAAGGGTATCTTCTTGGGTAAGGCTTCTCCATTAATCAAATTTACCTTTATTTCAGTCGTAGAATCTAAAAATAGAATAATATACAGGGTGCTCCATTTAAAAAAATACAACTATAATATTTTTTACTTATTTGGGACACTCTGTATCTTGCAAACTTATAATTTGTAAAAATCTGATCGTTTAGCTACAATACTCCGTGTCGTATGTGGTGAACAACCCTGTATAATCATTTTTTTAAAAAAGATCAAAAAAAAATAAAAAAAGATCAAAAATTTTCTGCAAATAATGTATAAATTAATTATTTTAGATTATTTGTAAAATACAAATTTTTCTCTTTAGCAAAAAACTTTTTTACCGTATTTTGCAAAATACATGTAGATTTTTTTTGGACATAAACATTATTATTATTAAGCATTTCTGATAAATTATATCAGCAGAATAAATTATTTGTGTGACAAATCTACTGCTTGGAAGTTTTTGATCTTCAATAAAGGAAAATATATCAAAATTTGATATATATCAAATCCTCAATCATTTATATATAGAAATTATAATTTCATGTAATAATTGACACACCCTATGCATTGAGTGTGATAAGATTTTGAATCATTTTAAAAATTATAAACAAAAGGATGTATAATATATTAATACTATATCACTTCTATTGAGATAATTTTTTTCTGATATAAGATAAAGGATTTGTTTTTTTTTTTTGGCATTTTTCGTCAATTATTATGTTATGGCACCCTATTATACAGATTTACTTTAACCTGCTTCTCTTTGGAGGCATTCAACAAAAAGATAGCCCCAACAGTAATTGTAAAACCCAATAATGTACCGAATATACTGACGATATCCATATTTGCCCATTCACGGAATAATACACCAGATGCTATTATAACCATCGACGTAAACATAACATAATATACAGGAGTAACTACGCTTGTATCGAATATATCTAAAGATTTGTTCAAGTAATTCATCTGTGTACAGATAAATACAACCACTAAAAGAAATAGGACAAATATCATCCAGGCATGTTTTATAGGTAATTCATCTAAAAACAAAAGATTAAATTCAAAGCAAATGCTGAATAAAAGTGATTAATAAAACCTACCTAGGAAGTAACTCTTTATACTTAATCCTAGTGCCTTGCAAGACATGACTGTTAAACTACCAATTGATGAACACACTGAAAGATAAACTATAACGTATCGAGTTCCATACTTTGGCCCCATAAAGCACACTATTATAGTTATTAAACAAACAGTAGAAAGATAGTATAAGAAATCCATTTGAGTAACTCGAGATAGTAGTTCATCCAAAGATTGAAATTCCTCTTCTTTTGGAGCATATACAACTATGATTGTTGAACCTATTATACACAATACACAACCAATCTAAAAAATATCAGTTATGACAATTAAAAGCTTAATGTATGTTTATAATAATACCTTTCCCTTAGTACTAAGAGCTTCGTTTAAAAATTTGGAAGCTAGTATTGCTGAAACTAAAATACTTAATGCACCCAAAGGTGTAACCAACGAAGCCGGTGCAAATGCATAAGCCACAAAGTTTGCTAATTCTCCAACGCCCACTAAAATTGTTAAAATTCAAATTATTTACTTTTCAATGATAATACGTTCTCAATGGACTTACTTGTAAGAAGGCCTATCCACCATGTCCAGTCTTTAAGATATCCATATCCACCTGCTGATGCTCTTAAACCTACTTGATTTAGTTTTTTTAAGGATAGCTTCTTAATGATAAAACTTGACCCAATAAATAGAGAAGAACTTATAGCTAAGATTAAACCTATATAAAATTGTGATGATTTATGATCAAATTTAGAGAAATCTAAATGCTCAGTTTGGATGTCATCCATTTTTACGTGTTTCTTTTCTACTGATTTTGTTGAATAATTATGGGAAGGTATTAACTCATAACTGATAAGATTTTCGTAAAATATAAAGTTGTAGATAACAAAATACTAAAATTCAAGTGATTTAAAAATAGATGTAAACAAAAACCAGGTTAGCGAAGTTAGTAGCTAAATGTTTGACGTTTTGTATGATTTAATGGCCTCAGCCGCCAGAAGCCACAGTCCCTGAAATATGGACAACTAGGTATTAGAGCCATAGAGCAGATAACGCTATCTTGTTTAATCTTTAATCTATGGATGAACATTTGATTTTGTTTTCATTTGAGGTTAAATAACAGAAGACAAGAACAGGGAAAGGGAAAATCTTTGCTTTTTCACTGTTTATAATTAATAAAATGCCGAATTGGAATCAAATCCAGAGTCAATTAAGACACCCTGCCAATCCTGTGGTATTTTTTGATGTCTCTGTAGGCACAACTGTAAGTAATTTAGAGAGTATTTTTTAACATTTTTTAATGATCCTCTTAATTATAGGAAATAGGTCGTATGATTTTTGAACTATTTGCCGACGTTGTACCAAAATCCAGCGAAAATTTCAGACAGTTTTGTACCGGAGAATTTCGAAAAGATGGTGTACCACTGGGTTATAAAGGTGCTGGTTTTCACAGAGTTATAAAGGATTTCATGATACAAGGTGGCGATTTTGTAAATGTATGTATTTTATATCTTCTTTCCATTACCATTTTTTATATATATGTATTTTAATTAATTTTAAGGGTGATGGAACAGGAGTGATGAGCATCTATGGAGGAGGGACATTTGCTGATGAAAATTTTATATTGAAACACGATAGTCCTGGATTACTTTCTATGGCAAATAGTGGAAAGGACACTAATGGTTGTCAGTTTTTTATTACATGTGCTAAATGTAATTTCCTTGACGGGAAACACGTGGTATTTGGCAGAGTTATTGATGGACTTTTAGTTATGCGTAAGATTGAAAATGTTCCTACTGGACCAAATAATAAACCCAAAATTCCTGTAACTATTATACAATGTGGCCAGATGTAGATTAAATATTATTTAAGATTTTTATATTTATTTCTCCTACTTTTGAAAGGTCTGAGCCTTTTTGGAACATACATCTGTTACATACCACTAGTACAGAAGATATTCCTCAATCTTATAATTTCATTTTTTATTGGTTTGTTAACTATTATTGGTTTGTTTTTATTATTTGTTTCCTAAATATTTGTATTAGTAGTTATTTAATGTTGATTTAACTTCAGTAATTAGGTTTAAATTGTCTTTTCAATTCTATATACATATTTTTATCTTGGATTTTCAATCAGTAAAATTTCTGTTTAGTAATTTGAATAAAATTCAATTGCAGCAAAATGTGAAGCTCAAATAAGTTCTTTGAGGATAATAATTGAAGATTTTGCACAACTGTTAAATATTATTTGTAAAAAAATATGTAAATCTAATCTTCCTATTTTTCTCTACCTTCGACACTATTTTTCCAAACTCGGACTTTTGACACACACAAAGAAAATAGTCAGTATACTCACATTTTATTGTTATACTGCTCACAACTCATAATATACCAGGACATGCCACTTTGTCTTACAATGAGCCACCCTGTATTCAAATTTAAAACACCCGGCAGTAGATGTATCGAGAACTTAGATCTTATAAACTTCATCGAGAATCGATAATTCGTTCTTGTCACATCCTTACTAGTAACATAACCCAACATTTGGCATCACCCAAATCTATGGCATCACCTAAAAACATTAATAAAGTGTTTTTTGAATAGTTATATTAAATTTTATATTTATATAAATAATGACTACCCTGGAACAAGGTTTTAAGGAAAAAATTTGCAACCTCCTTACGGAATTAAGCTGCTGCCATAGATGTATCGTTCGTTTCTTGGGCATACATGTTTTGGATAACGAGAAAGCATATCAAAACCCAAAAGAGTATTTGAAAGAACTTCTCCATAATACAGAAAACTACACAGGACCTGAACCTAAGAGAATTAAAGCAAATGTTTGCCCAGTTTGTTTAAACTGTTATAATTCAGAAACACTAGAAAAAATATTAGAAAGTTATAAGTTAGTAAGCAAGGAATACAATGCATACAACACTTTCTTTTTTAATGTAAGCTTTCCAAAATGCTTATCTATAAGAGCACATAGCATGTATCTGTATTTAGTAGAAAAATTCCCGAATACTCCTTTTGGAAATTTATATAATTCAACAGGTAGGTAGTGTGTGTATTTTAAAAGTTTAAAATTCTGTAACAAGTATAACATTTTTAGATACAATGTTAGAACAACCTCACAGAATTTTTCGATCTGTTGCATCTAGTATCTTGTCAAAAACATTAAATAAAACATTTCACCCAAAATCCAATTTAAGTTTATTAATTACATTAGCATATAAAGATGATAATACAGTAAGTACTTACTTAATATTTGCATTAAAAAATATGTATTACTATTTTTATAAAGGAAGTAGAAGCTATAACAAACATATTAGGAAAAAAGAAAAGAAACAAATTTGAAGTCAGTCGAAATAACATATTTGAACTTCTTAAAGATATAGACGAAGAAAAATTTAAAAAATACTTTCCGGTACCTCCTATTATTCCACAAGAAGAAATTTCTATTGAAAAGATTGATTTGTGCGCTGATCCTATATATCTTGGAGGAAGATACTTTAAATTTAAGCGAAATGTGGGACAGACTCCTTGGGTTATTGATGGAGTAAGTGTTTCTGAACACAACGTCCAAGACATAATTTTTGATGCTATTTGTGATACACTCGGGTTAGTTAATGTTATTAAAACATATTAGATCTCTATATATGAGCATAAAATGTTGTAGATTTGATAGAAAACAGATGACTTTTTCAGCGAGCGGTAGGGAAGACCTTGATGTACGAATGTTGGGCACAGGACGTCCATTTTATATCAAAATTGAAAATCCAGCCAACAGAAATATCTTAAAAAGTCAACTGTTAGCCATAGAAGAAAGCATTTTAAAAACGGAATTAGCTGCTGTTGTAAAACTAAAAATTGTATATGCCTCTGACTTGAACAAGATAAAAACCGGAGAAGAGTCGAAAAAGAAAACATACAAGGCTCTGTGTAAAACTGATGCTCCGGATATTAAACAAGCAATAGAGAAAATCAATGCACTGGAGGCACTTGAAATCACTCAAGCAACTCCGATGAGGGTATTACATAGAAGAAGTTTACTACCTAGAACAAAAACTATTCATAAAATGGAAGCCAAAGAGACTGAAGGTAGGTACTTGTTTATTAAAAGTTCTAATTTATGAATGCTCTGTATTTGTATGTATTTTAGGAAATCTATTTGAAGTAGAAATTGTAACCCAAGCAGGCACATACGTAAAGGAGTTTGTACATGGAGATCTTGAGAGGACCTGCCCCAATTTATGTTCTATAGTGGGCTATTCAACAGACATAGTTGCATTAGATTGTATTGATATTAATTTGGAGTGGCCTTAAAGAATTGTTCTATATATTTTTTCTACGTAATGGAACTGTGTAGCCTAAACACAAAAAAACTAAAATTTGTTCAAACATGAATAAAAGAAATTGTCTTTTTAGTTGTATTTTCCTCAAAGAGATGTGGGGATTTGGGTAAAGCTCTAATTTCAGGATTCAGGAGGTCCTATTTTATAATTTAAAAACAACGGTAAACCTACGTATCGATATTTCGTCTTAATTTCTTATCGATATTTAAAAAAAAATTCTTACTTTTTGGAAGAATGCCATCCTTGATAACATCACAGCCAATTCATTAAATTGTCCCATCCGTGCCTCTTCTATTAGACGGCCGGAAAGCCCTAGCAGCTATGGCCGTAAGACTAATGTACTAATACCACAGAGCAGATCTGTTCTGTGCTAATACCTACTTTTTTCATAAGAAGAAATTATAAAGTTAGGTTATGTATTTTTGTGATAAAAAATGTAAATAAATTTTTTGCTCTGGAACTCTAGAAAGTAGAAAGTGAATAAATCGCATGAGTAAGAACTGTAAAAAGAAGCCATTAAAATTTGTCTCTGACAAATACCTAAAATGGATTCAAAGAAAATATCTTTTGGTTTTAACAAACTTTCGAAAAAAACTAATATAATACCTTCAACTTCAAGAGTTAAAGAGACTAAAGTAGAGTTAATAGAATGTTTGGAAGAACAATCCATTAAAATTAAAGGGTGAGTATTCATATTCTTTAAAATTATAATTTCTTATAACTCAAACTTTAGTGCTGTTGAAGAGATAAAAGAACCTCTTGTTATACCGATGAAAGACAACGAGAGAAGTCTTTTAGACCGTATTAGGGAGGCTAAAGGAAAAAACCGCGTTGTGAAGGCTGATACAGAAGACACTCGCTCAGATTCTGAACTAACACCTGACGAACTAGCTGCTAGAGAGTTATTAAAAGGTTTGTTTATCCCAATATTGTTTACTTTTGTCTATTTTAATATATTATTTTTAGAGGCTAAGAATCGATTAATCAATGGAGATTCAGATAATGCTAATAAAGTTTCTATTCTACCTATAAAAGAACAGCAACTAACACTAGAAGGTGAAAAACAACCCACTTTAGAAGACTATGAATCCATACCGATAGCTGATTTTGGCCTGGCCCTTCTGAGGGGAATGGGTTGGAAGGAGGGTATGCCTATTGGCAAAAAAGTATCCAAATCGGCAGTGTTGCCTGAACCAGAACTTCGACCAAAAGGATTAGGTTTAGGAGCATCAAAAATGATTCAGTCAGAAAAATCAAACAATAAACAATTAGACAAAGAAGGAAATGAGCTGATTTTAGTTAAAGGAGCATATGCAAAAATAATTGCTGGAGCACAAAAGGGAAATTACTGCCAGGTAAAAAGATTGTGTTATAAATAGGGTGAATTAGCTAGTGGTTGGATAGTTTAGAAAAAATTAGTTACAAAATTTTAAAAACTATCTCTCCTCCAGGCAAAAATTACAAAGAACAAACGTGGTCACTTTCCTGAATTTTTATAGATTTCAGTGTGACAATTTAGGCAAAGAGAATCTTTGTTGTGTATAGAACAAAGTGGAAGAATTGGCAGAATTTGTTTTTTATTTATTTGAAGCAATACTAAGCCATATTTTTAACTTATTTCCCAATAAATTTGTTTTGTCCGACCACTAGTTGTAATAATACTTCATTTAATATTACATTAATATTATAGGTTCAAGGATTTGATGAGGACGGTGGTAGAGTTATTATTAAAGTACATCCAAAATCGGAGATTATAAATATAAACGAAATAATGTTAATGCCTGTAACTAAAGAAGAATTTTCTAAGGGTTCGAAAGTCTTAAGTAAGGGAATATTGAAATTGGTAATACGGTTTATGTATTTAACTACTATATTTTTTAGATAATGCAAAATTTGAAGAGTTCAAAGAAATATCAGACAGAAAATTGAAGCAGGAGAGACAAGATTCAAAAGTAGAAGTGAATATTAAAAAAAGTTCTAGTGATCATAGGGTATATAAAAGCAGTTCTAAAACTAATAAATACGAAGATAGAGGTCATATAAAAGGTGAAGCATCTTCATCTGATGAGGAAAAAGATACGAAAGAAGAGCATTACAAAAAATCGAAGAAATCAAGATATAAAAGGAGAAGCAGTTCTTCGTCGGATAGTGAATATACCAGTAGTAAGAAAAGTCATAGAAATAAATCTAATTATAAGGACAGAGGTAGGTCTAGTGATAGGCACAAAAAGAGTAGTAGTTACAAAAGCAAAACAAGACAGAGTAGTATAAGCGACAGTGATTCAGATCATAAGAGAAACAGGAGGAAAATGAAATCGAGCCGTTACAGACGCGGCGATAGTAGTGAAGAAGACTCCAGACGTCAAAGCAGAAGAAAATAAATATATTTATTGTATGTAAAAAATATATTTGGTCTTTTAATAATATTTTGCTTTATTTTTTCTATTAATATTTCTCCTAAGTTCTGTGTAATTGCTCCATGTTTGTAGCCAGTTGTAGCTTTGCTGCATGCTAGAAGACAAACGTCAACGAAAAACTGTCTGTTTTGTACCATAGCAGTCAGGGGCGGGAAAGTAAAATAGCAAAAGCGGTTCCACCGTTTCCACGGAAATCTCAAATAAAATAGTTCCAGCCCTAGTCACTAGGTGGTAGTGCAATTAATTTTTAGGTTAAGAAGTTGCTACTAGTTATTGCCAGATGGCGTTAAATCAGAATTTTTTGTAGTTTCCATAGTTTCCAACGCCATTGTCATATTATTGTCAAATTCTCAAAAAATATTGTCGTTGTCATAGCGCCAATCATAATATTATCAAATAAATTATTATCAAAACGTTTTTCAAACTATAATTTGTTATATGTGTTTTAATTAGACAATTCCTTTTGTTTGTGGCCCTAAAAGTATAATGTAAGTCTTTTATTTTTGCCATCATTTGAGTACCTATTTATATTTACACCATTTACAAAACTTTGGGCGTATTACGTTGGTCTTGTAGTATTATAATAAACGATGTTTAAATATTTCACTTATAAATAAAAATTTTAAATAATAAATAATATTTCACATGTTTGGCCTTAATTTTATCTAATAATTGTATAAATTATACTTTTAAATCTTATTTTTTACACATCACAACGATACTTGTTATTGTTGAATTTGTGTAAAAAATAAGATTTAATAATCAAATTTAATTATTTTAGAGTAAAATTCAATAAATACGCTGAATTAAAAAGCCCGCGCTTCGATCCATTTAAAACAAACCCTACTCAATAGATGGCGCCACTTCTGTAGGACCATTTTTCAGTATGGCAGAGTCCATTCTTTTTCTAGCTAGGTATATTCTTTGATAGCAGTACCATTGAGGTGCTGCCGCAAAGTGAGAGACATTCAGGATAAAGTTATTTTTATTTTTTTACTGCCACAACTATTTTGAAGCATATACTCTAATAATTATTATTAGAGAACAACGGCACAGACTACAAACACGTAAACGTTTACGTACACACGCGCATCTCTTATATTTTAACATGTATAAGATGCTTTACGTCTACGTATACGTGTCTCTAATAGAGAACAACGGCCTACGGTCGAATCGGCCGCTGCTGGCACGTATACGTAGACGTAAAGAATCTTTTACGCGTATAAAAAATATAAGAAATACACATGCGTACGTAAACGTTAACGTGTTTGTAGTATGTGCCGTTGTTCTCTATATCTTATTGAAATTTTGGGAACATAATATTCTGATTCGTTAATAATTTGGTACAAAGGTAACTTATCTATCACCGATTTAGATCCTTTTTTAATGTATCGTTAATAAATATAAAAAAATAACATAATTCTGCAGATAAAAATATGTAAAAAAGTTCCTATGAATGTATGCCCTAAAATGCTTAGTTTCGGAGATACAGGGTGGAGAAATTTCATTTTTATTTCGTTTTTTCCAAATAATTTTAAAGTTACGTCAATATTTCGATGAAAATTGGTGTCTGGGAGTTTTTTGACATGAGAAATTTGGATTTTGATGTTAATATTACTCCTATTTGTAGGGGCCGCCTACGTGCGTTTTAACCTTTGAATAAGAAGACCAATAAAGAAGACTAAGGAAGGAGCATAATGCTATCCATGTATTCATGCATGGTGGGCGGAAAAAACACTCTAGGGTGGGGATCCTTGACAGTTCTGTTTGACGATTCATTTGACACATTTGAATTTAATTTGAAATTTTGTGGATTTGTCAGTCTTTACGGAGCTTATTTTATGTTATTTATTATTTATTCTACTACTGATAGTTGTATAAAGGTAGTAAATCTAGATGGAAATTGTGGCAGAACTTAAATTAACAGTGACACTATCGCGATTTATCGAAAAAGACTCTAAAATAGTTGGTTGTGTAGCGGTAGATCTCGGCAAAAATTGAGTGAAATAATCGAGGAAATAATGGAACAACTTTTCGCTAGTAAGTGACTATATAATATACATACGTGTAGTAAACCCATCATTTATGAAATTCACTTAAATTAACTAAATTATATATTTTTCTTGCATTTTAGCTTTTTTTGTTACTTGTCAAAGATTAGATGTCAAAGAATTTAGATCTGAGATACGTTAATTTGACTTACCTGCTTCAGTAGCGTACCGGATGTTTGTGTTAATAAATACTTATTATCACTTATCTATTTTTATTAGAATTATATATTTTTATAACAATTTTAATAACTACCAACATTTATTCACAACGTAAAATAAAACAACAAATTATTGAGTCTACCCCACGTCTACCCTACATCATAGTTTTACATTTTTTAAATAAAATTAGAACGACACTGAAAAACCGGAATTTAAGTCGGCCATATTTGAGGCCCATCGCGGTGTACCTAAGATTTTTGATATGCTTCTTCCTTAGTCTTCTTATTCAAAGGTTTTAACTGTTTTGAAGAGTAATAACTTTTCGTCCATACCTGTATAAACTTACTGAGTGAAAAAATATACATTTCCGTGACTTTTTACGTAAAAAATGTCTCTTGGTGAATCATCGCTATAAACAAAACCGTTCTCAAGATATTTAGAATGGAAAGAATCAATAAATGTCATTATTTACAAAAAATAAACATGTTGAGTAGATTTAGTTAGGTATATGACTGAAATAATAAATTTGGAACTTTTTTTTAATCATAAATTTTTCTGTGAAAAAATAATGATAAAACAGTTTCTGTTGAACTTGAACTTGTTTCTGTTCAACATGTTTATGTCAATGATGACAGGTACTGATTCCAAATATCTCGAAAACCATTACTTATAGCAATTTTTACCAAGAGATCTTATTTACGTAAAAAACTGTCGTAAATGTATATTTTTACTCAGTAGTTTTATACAGGTATGGACGAAAAGTTATTACTCCTCAAAACAGTTAAAAAATATGGAGGTGGCGCCCTCTGTAAGTAGGAGTCATATTGAAATCAAAATCAAATTTTTCATGTCAAAAAACCACTAGACACCATTTCATCCAAATATTCACATTACTTCATAAATTATTTGGAAAAAATCTAAATAAAAATGAAACTTCTACACCCTGTACCTCCGAACGAACTTTTTTACTTATTTTTAGCTGCAGAATATGCTGCCGAAATTTCCGGAATACAGTTCGGACCACCCTGTATATGTTTATTTTATGCCACACCCTAAAGCTTGATTTTCATGCATCCGTTGTCCGACGATACGATGATACGATATTAATTTTATTGGTTGAATTTAAAGTCTTCGATTCGTTAGAAATGGTTAACCAATCGAAGCCTTTCAATTCAACCAATAAAATTAATATCGTATCATCGTATCGTCGGACAACGGATGCATGAAAATCAAGCTTAATGTGTAGAAAAACTTTAATTTGTGAAAAGCATATTCAAATACATACTTTATTCATATTTATTTTATATATAAGTGAACTTGATAAAAAATTCATTAACATGGACAATTGAGATTTGAAGTTAATAATTATCAAATGGTCGTTTAGAAAAATTAATTTTGCAAACGGAAATAAATAAATATATAAATTATTGTGTTCAAGTATAAAAATCTGTTTTTATTGTCATGAATGCAAATATAAGTAATTTTTTTCTAAAATATCACATTGTCTCTGTAACCTGTAACCCTGGTCGTCTTTTTAAGCTCTTAGAGTTGTTCTGGATGGATAGTTGAAATGGGAAATAATTAAACCATAAAAAATTCATTCAACTTTATTTCACACTTTAGTACACAAAATAACTTTGTTAAAATTAGTAAATATAAAATAACAAATAACATTTTGTTATAAAAAATAAATTTGCCAAACTAGTCTAATTAAAAATGCATAAATAACAAGTGAAGCTTTGAAAAAAAGTTTAATAAAGTAAGAGATTTTAGATGATGACAATAAACAAACATTTCTTGTTTAAAATGTATTAAACTGCCCTCATCTAAAACCAACTTAATCAGGTATATACCGTATGATCGAAAAAAACGGCGTCAACGATGGCCATGAAATGAAGATCGCTATCATTTCATCTGTAAAATTATATACCAACTGGACGCCGTTTTTTTTCAATCATACAGTACTATACAGTGTAGGTATGCGATGACAGATTCAATGTGAACAAATATTTATAGAAAATTATTTTCATATTGTAAAATATTTACATAATATATCATGAAATCCAAAAAAAAATTAAAAAAAAATCAATCTGTCAATGCATGTTTTAAAACTAAAGGAAAAAATGTATAAAATGTGAAATCTATTCTATCCTGTAAATATGTGTTTATTTCGTTAAAAAATAATTATTGAAGTACTTCATAAAATTCGAATTTCGCGAAGACCAAAAATTGTAATGACACAATAGAAAATCACAATTTCTTTGCCAATAATTTTAAAAATACAGCTACAAAATACCGTACGAGCAAAAAAAAACGGCGTCAGAGATGGCTTAGAAACGCAAGATCGTCGTTTCAAAGGCAACTCGACGCCATTTTTTTTCTATCATTGTCATCCGCCATTACTTGATCATACGGTATAATTTATAATTTAAATTGCATTAGTTGGTATCTCAAACAAAATGTTTAGCTAAAAACGTTCAAAACCTCCATTTTTATTTTTACTTATTAGTGTATCGCAATTTCCAGTTGGCATTTAAATTGATAAATGACAATAATTTACATCAAAATATGTGAGATAGACTACTTTTCTTCTAAACTTTTTATGTGCAATATCGGTTAGTTAATTATAAACACCACTCAATAAACAACGAATATTACGCAGTACAATACCAATCGACAAAAGATGACAGTTTGACTAGTACTATCATACAATATGGCTGATCTATCACATTTTAGAGCACATTTTTACAAATTGACACGGAATTTTAAGTTAAATACAGTTTAAAGGGCTCAGTAATATTACTTTTACAAAGCTGTAATAATTAAGTCAGAATTTTACATCTATTATATAACGACTAATTTAAGTACTTAAACTGGACCTATTGTTTGTATTAAATCTGCTCTTAATAACTCTCTGATCCTTATACAGCCTCTACACTATGCGGAGAACTCTTCGAAGCAGGTCAAGGTCGCATTTCGTCGTCCAACTTTGTCGCATTTCAATTTATTCCCAGTTATCTTGACCCACTTCGGTTTGCCTCGACCTACTTTCGATTATTAAAAGCGCCAGAAAAATACTCGCGAGGAGGGTGTAGGGGATTTTTTTTGGCGTTTCCTGTTGCCTCGTTCAATTTTGTTTAGTTTTGAGCTATTTCCAAAACGTGGCGGTATCTGTACCCGAGGCAAAGGATTTTTTTTTCATAATTTCAGTGAAATAAGTAAACCTAGACGTTTCGAAAATAGCTGTTGTTACGATGGTATTTCGTTAATTACATCTCATTTTATGTTGATATATATTCCACAAGATTAATATTTGAACACGGGTTTAATAATATGTAGAGTAGATATTTAAGAACAAAATTTTTCACTCAATCTGCAGGAATATAATTACAATATGTTTATTTTTTAATTTTATTATAATGGAATCTATACTAATATATAAAATCCATAAGTGACTAACATACAGTACGTCTGTCCGTTCTGTAGCTACGGGGTATCCGTGATAGGGGAAACGATATTCTCTCGATGTTTTTCGTAAAAAATTAGACGACGCGTCCCATCAATAAAAATTCGACAAATTTGCAAGTAGCCAATAAAATGAGTGGGCGGAGCGATTAGCGGTGACGTACTCGTTAAGTCGACGTATAAAATATATTGTTGTTTATTTAAATGTTTTTTGTCCGCATTCCTTTCATAGACACAGATCCAGCAGATGTACTGTACTGATTAATCACAATCCTGCTCAAACCACTCAACGGAAGAAGCTCAATTTTGGCGTACACGTTGATTCTAGGGTGTAGAGGTTCGATAAGAAGGGATTTTTCGAAATTCCAGTTCCAAGAGGGTGAAACAAGGGTGAAACCACCCCTCAAATATTACAATATTTTTTTATTTAAAAAAAGGTCAAGTTTCCGAAAAACGCTTAAACACGTATATTTTATTTTGTTTTTTTACATATTTTAAGATTTTTTAAAAACGTATACTGGGTGTTTCGAAAAATCTGGTCATTGATTAATCACGATCCTGCTTAAAGCGCTTGACGTAAAAAACTGATTTTTGGAAAACAGATTGACTTTAGGGTGTAGAGGTTCGATAAGAAGAGATTTTTTGAAACTCGAATTCTAAGGGGGTGAAACTATCCCTCAAATATTTAAAAACCGGTGAGTTTTTCGGAAAAACTCTTAAACACGTATTTTTTATTTTGTTGTTTTACATATTTTAAGATTTTTTATAAATTTATACAGGGTAGGTATTTCATAAAATATGACCTTTGAGTAATCACGATTTTCCTTAAACTGCTTGACGTTTAAAGCTGATTTTTGGCAAACGGATTGACTGTGGGGTGTAGAGGTTCGATAAGGAGGGGTTTCTCGAATCTCAAATTCCAAGAGGGTGAAAACGCCCCTCAAATATTACAACATTTGTTATTTAAAAAACGGTTAGTCTTTCGGGAAAACGCTTGGACAAGCATAATTTATTTATTTTTTTTAAATATTTTGAATTTTTTTAAAAAATCATACAGGGTGTTCCAAAAAGTTACATAATTTCTTAACCATGATTCTGCTTAATCTGCTTGACGTAAAAAGCTTATTTTTGGCAAACGGATTTTTCGAAAGTCAAATTCCTACGAGATGAAACTACCCCTCAAATATTACCAAGTTATATAATAATATCGCCATATTGTTTTTTCTCATGCTGACATAAATGTGAGAAAATTTTATCCAGTTTGTATGTTAATGAAAATTCTTGCTCTGCTTTATCATCACCATTACAAATGATTAATTCGACGCGAACGAAGTCGCTGGTATACGCTAGTTAGTATATAAAATTGTATGTTATGTTTGTTTACGCCTGTCTTAATTAATTTAATAATAACAGTAGTATTGCTTGATGAGTAATACTGGCAACATCATCAATATATAGAGCTGATTGAGAAAATTTTCGATTGACCCGATGTCAATCAAAGATACTTTTAGTTCTCACGTTTCCCGAAATAGATTGAGACGCACCGTGATTGGTTGTTTGTTTTTTATTGTTAATCTGGGTTAACAATCCATTCCTATTATTTCGTAAAACATTTCGGGGACTCGCAGTACAGGCTGTTTTATGGTCATAAAAAAGTAAGTCAAGAAAAAAATACATAGAATTTTTTGTTACATTCAGAAATACATTAATGTTTTCCTTATTATTTTATTAGTATTGAGGTAACTTTACAGAGCTGCAAACTTATATTTCTGCACACTGAACTAGCATGTTATTTCTACATATACTGCGCCGTTCTATGATGGGTGTAGATGTGACAGATTTTTTTTTCATTTCAATATTAATTAGAAGATTAACTCTGTTTTAATTATTTTTTACATTTTACACTACCTTTTGTATTTTAAAAATTCATTTCTAGACATAGTATATAATCTTTAAGAATCAGAGAGTAGTAATATAACTTATCTGAATTATTGAGCCCTTTAGCTTTAGCATATCTCAAGGTATTCTGTTCTCTTCTTCACAAATTCAGACGAATAATAAATTCTTTAAGTATATAAATTTCAATAAACTATGTATGTATATCTATTTTCTTCTTACTATATACGGACTTTTTGAATTTTTTTATATAATTTAACCTTTTTAGCGCCAATATTCGAACGATTTCTCTTTATCCGAATAGTTTTTCGAAACACATATGACAGTAAGGTTTGTCGTTCTGTTCCTTGAACGTGCCTTTGTTGAGTTGCTTCAGACAGAAGGCGCAAACGAAATGTTCCGGGTGGAACTTCCGGAACATGGCCGTGACGCAGCGACCGGAAATGGGCTTGTGGCATCCTGCGCACAACGAACCCCGCTTTAAGTGATAGTGCGTCTCGCAGTACGGCTGGCCCTCGTGGTCGAAGAACGAACCTCCTACGAAAGGTTGACGGCAATCCTGTAACAGAAAAATAGAAAATGTTATTTAAATAATATATACTTTAAGGTACCAAGTAACAGAAGGTACAGAAACAGGCTTTGAAGCTCCTAGATGAACAATGCTGAAATAAATAAAAATTAAAAAAATATACCGATGGATTGAAAGATTTCATTGTCTATGTGATGGCCAGATAAGCTGTAATGAAGTAAGAGATAATGAATAAACCTTCTTATTTTTAGCAGAAGCACAAAACCTATTTACAACAATCGCTATCTTTCGTAAAAAATCGTCAAAAATATTATTTAATGTGTTCTTTTTTTATAAATTGGATTAGGATCGAAAGAAATCAACTGGGAATGGGTAATTGTTTATCACCGATTTGTTCTGATTTAGTTATGCAGGATTTACAGGATCAATGTATTAAAAAACTTCCTTTTCAATTGCCGTTTTTTAAACGTTATGTTGATGATATTATAACTTCAATTCCTATTAATCAAGAACAAAGTATATTAGACATATTTAATTGTTATCACCCTAAACTACAATTTACATTGGAGAAAGAAATAAACAACAGCATAGCATTCCTTGACGTGAGACTAATTAGATACAATCAATTAATAGAGACAGATTGGTATCACAAGCCGACATTCTCTGAGAGATTTCTCAATTATTCCTCCGAACATTCTTTGAAACAAAAAATTAATGTTATTAATAACCTGAAAATCAGAGCTACATCACTATCATCAATTAATTTTCATAATAAAAATTTAAAATATATCGAAAGCATGTTGATTAAAAATAATTATCCAATATCTATGATTAAAAAAAATTCTTAACAAGAAAACCGTTGTAAAATCTACTAACCAAAATGAGAGAAGTTTATTGTAAAATACCTTATATCGACTGTCTGTCAGAACAAATTAAAAACACATTTAAGGGTCATACTACAAAAAACAGGAAAAAATAAAAATTACAACAAGGAGTCACAACACCATAAAGAGACGGTTCTTTTCAAAAACAAAATCAAAGAATAAAAAGAACTGAAATCCGGCATAATATATAACATTCCTTGTACTCAATGTCCTAAAAGCTATGTTGGGCAGACCGGTAGATATTTAAAACAAAGATTGAATGAACATAAAAATGATCAAAGGAACTTTCTTTTGAAATCTAATCCTACCGCATTAGTAGAACACAAAATAGAGACAGGCCATAACTTCGATTTTGACAATACCACTATTTTACAAACACAATCTAATTATAAGAAAAGATTATTTGCAGAGATGATAGAAATCCAAAAAAACAAAAATTGCGTTAATAAAAGAACAGACGTAGAAAACCTGAGTACAGCATATTTTAATATTCTTTCAAAAATTAAATAATATAACTTCAAAATAATGGTTTAAATCCAAATAATATTTTTATATGTTTCTTTTTTCAACTGTTCTTTATCTCCAGGTAAAAATTATATTAGTATTTTATCAACTAGAATTAGTTGCTCTCTGTATACGGTCAACGTAGGTACATCTGCACTGCTTGTCTGTGAAAGGAAAAGATTTTCGTGATATTTCTCTATACATAATTGTGTTATATGTTTTTTTTTATGTAAGTGTGTTATGTGTTTTAAAAGGAAAAAAGGGATATATACCACTCCCCTCTATACCATCCGTGTATTAATGGATATGACTAAGAAAGTCCAGATTTAAATGTGAGTAACATATACATATATTTTATTTAATTGTTAACATTAGGGTAGTTTTACCAATTGTATATGTGTGGAATTCCACTGATATGTATTTTAGGTTGTTTGTTAAATTTTTGAAAAAACTTTTATTTGATTGTATTTTTGCTCTCTTAACTTTGTAGTGTCCTGAAGATGCAAATAAATTTTGCGAAACGTCGACAAATTTAAAACAAAGGACTTCTGTTGATTTCTTTCGATCCTAATCCAATTTATAAAAAAAGAACACATTATATATTATTGGATCGACAACAATAAAAATTATAAAAATATTATTATTTTCGTTTATATTCTGGTGATTCAAAAAAACAAATACACTACTCAAAACAATTATCGCATATTTGAATAAAAATAATATTTATTTATAAATGAAGCATGCATTTTTCTGCCTTTCTCTTGTGAGTATTTTTAGGATAATTATGGTACGGCCTACTATACAGGGTGTCTCAAAAATAAGTGCAAATATTTTAACTGGTAGTATATTTCGGCCTCAGAAACACGCCCATGAGGTATTTTTTGTAAAAAAAATTTTAAAATTTGGATTTTTTCGAAAAAAAATTTGATTTTTTTTAAATTTTAAGTTAAAAAACATAATTTCTTGATAATATGGCCACATAGGTAGTAGCTTAAATCTACATGAAAGAAAATCCGGAAAAGATCCAGTGGTTCTCAAAATTTTAGCAAAAAATTATTTTTTTTTGGAAATTTTCAAAGTAAAATAACTCAGTTATTTTGGATTTATTTGAAAGACGGTAAAGAGAAAAAATGTTTATTTTGGCCAGATCTACCACCCCTTAAACTATTTGCACTTATTTCTGGGACACCCTGTATAAACGGCCGACTATTTAGTTGCAAAAGTGAAAACAATACATTCTTATGGAGCCGAACGGCCCAATATTTGATTACGTTGCCTTAGGCTATGCGCTGACAGGCAATTTTTAATCGGCCGACTATTTAGATGCATATTTGTAACGGATATATCCTTATTGAGCCGCGCTCACATGCAATTAAACAGTCGGTCGATCGACTTCATAAGTATGTATTGTTTTCACTTTCGCAACTAAAAAATAGTCGGCCAACTAAAAATTACAGGTCAGCGCATAGGTTTATTGTACTGAATTTCCCTTCACAGTGTCCATACTATTTAAAATCGTAAGTCAGGGAATTCAAAGTGACTTGTTTTTTAAATTAATATTCGTCATAGGCTGAACCTCTGCGCGCTGCGCTATGGAAACTTGTTCGATTTATATTCAATTCTAGAATTTAACGGACTAAATAAAAAAAAATATAGGATCTTCTTCCGATGCGCAGTAGTAAAGGCTGCGCAGTAGTAAAGATGCTGTTCGAGAGCATAGTAATGATGAAAGCATAGTAATAGATATATTAAAGAGCCAGATTTTTTAAAATACTTCCTCGAAAACGTTGCTAGCTCTTAGACTAATAATTTTACATACAAAATGACAGATATCTTCATTTCCAATCCATCTCTGACGCCGGTTTTTTTTTTTCGATGGTATGATGCCTTGTCGTTCGCAAGTTGGTTTAGAGAATTTAATGTAACCAGCATAATATAACTAGCCACCAGGGTTCGGAAAACTACATGTTACTTTTAAAAACTACATAAACTACATTACATGTAGTTAATGTAGTTTATGTAGAGGGTGTAGTTTATGTAACCTATGTATATAACTTTCAAATATCAAAGGTTTGAGGTGAGGTTATAATAAGTTGAAGCTTTAAAACCACATAATGTATTTAAGAAAACAGAAGAAATATGGCTTTAAATATAATATTTACATCATATTATCTCTATTACACCTCATACAAATGAAAATTATTCATAATATCAATACATAGTTGATTAACGTAGTTTTCATGTAGTTAATGAACGGGAAAAGACGTAATTTTTGAAGAAAAACTACACGTAGTTAAGCAGGTAAATTACGTCTTAATTAACTACTTCCGAACCCTGCTAGCAACACTTAAATAAAAAAACAATGTAAAAATGAAGAACGACAATTTTGACGAATGAACGATACGTTTAATAATAAATCTCATCCTACAAAATTTGACATATTTTATGAGTCAAATATTATAACTGTTACTTAATAACTGGTCATTGACTTCTTTTTAAATATACCCACATTATACACTGACCGGCACAAAAAAACGGGCTGCCTTAAAATTTTGATGTATTTTAAAGTTCAATATATTTTGTTCTAGTGGGCCGATTTTAATGATTTTTGAATCAATTTGTAGCTGAATTATTTGACGTTTTAGTGTCTCTTTCTAAATTAAAAATGAAAGTTGCCATATCTGTCAATTATGCGAGGGGAAACAAAATGTTGATATTTTGGTAAAAGTTTGAAACACCCTGCGGAGTACGTTAACAAAGCAAGGAATTGAAAAATAACTTTATCATCTAGGTGTATCTTTGCTCAATAGCTTGTTTTTTGATTCGTCACAAAATAGCTTTATTCTTTTTGGAGGTATTCGCTTTTGAAGAACTAATATTTTTTCGTATTTTTTACATTAAAACAATGTCCTTGCCCTTTTGGTTCTAGTCAACAAACCTATAAAATAATGTTTATGATTTATGTAATGTTACTGTGTTTAAAAAAATCATATTATATTATTGTCTGTTAGGCAGTTACTAGAGTAGATATGGTTTTAAGTCCAAAAGTTGATCTCTGCCATGATCTAAAGCAGCAATAGCCGATACTTCAGAATTTAGAACCATCTCTACTAAAGTAAACGCCAATAAACAATAATAATATGACTTTTCAATGACAGTGACGTTACAAAAACAATAAACACTATTTTAAGTGTGGTGATGAGTAGTAGTGGGAACTATCGAATGAATACTATCGAAACATTCGATAGTTGCAATTCATTCGAATAATTCGATAGTTAGTATGAAAACATTCGTTGAAAACTATTCGAGTAAAAATTATCGAATAGATCCGTCATCTGCCTTGAAATATTGTATTCTAGTAATTCGGCAGCAAAAACCATTCATTTATAAAATTCATTCATTTATGAAATTCATTCATTCGTCAGGATCGATTATAATAAAATATTAACTGAATTTTAGTTGTCGCCCGGCGACGTAGGTTTCTTTCCGAGAAACCCGACAGCGGTCGGTGGCAATGCTATGAAAGAAGCCGGCATCTTTGATTTTTTGCGGAGTCAGATATAGATAAGGACACATTATTTTTTTTATTGAGGTGCTAGTATTTACACAGAAAATACATTATGAAAGGCGTTGTTGCCATATTTTGGTATTAGTTGATATTAGCAAAGAATATTATTGTTTGGCTTTAGTTAATTAGGGATAATATGTCTATATATTCTGCATTTTTTTTATTAATATTCTGTTGTTACACTGCAATAATACTTGTTATTTTGGATGTAGGAAAATTATTTTTAATGTTTTTTAGCAAAGACTGGTTTAATAAATAATAATAACAGTAATAATTTGTTATACCTATTAACAACAAAATTTTAAATCATTTAATATAAATATTTTCTTTTAAGTAGTAGCAAAATATAAACAACAAATTAGATGTCAAAATTATTTATATTAGATCCTATTTAAAAATAATATAGTCTCTAAATTTTTTGGCAACGTTGGTTTATTAATTAATAATAATTACAGAACTAATTTGTTATATTAACAACAAATTTTAAAATCATGAAATATAAACATTTATTAATTTTCTAAGCATGCAGTGTAATGGAAGGAAAATATAAATAAAAAATTAGAAATCAAAATTATTTATATTAGGTGCTTTATATTACTATTTAAAAATTATATTTACTTTTACTGGCATTTACTTTAAAAAATAAATGAAATATTTCTTCGCAAAAAACTACATGTAAGAGAATTAGCATAAACAAAATACAAACATCGTTAACTTTTTTTTTTTTAAATTGGCACGTGTAAAACTTTCATTTTAATTTTCTCACCCCATAGTTTGAGTTCGATAACCATTTACTTAAATATGATTATACAACCACATTACTTAAATATGATTATTAAGTTCAACTAATTCATATTATTAAAACATCTAAAATACAAATATGTATTTTTAAAATTAATTGTAAGTTCATCTCATCTCTCTTAAAAATTGCTACTTCTCAAAATTAAAAAATAGACCATATACCATATAAAATTAAATAATTGAAAGATCGGACTACGGAAAACCACACAAATTTTTGGAAAAATTTTGACCACCTGCACATGCACACAATCGTCAATAAATAAAATTAAAAAATAACTACTATTTTAGTATTTTAACTATTTTAATAAACGCAAAAATAGCACAGTATTTATACGGCGAAGTTATAAAAATTTGGAAGAACTAATAATGCACTGACGCATACAAAAATCAAACGAATACTAAATTTCATTTATCAAAAGCATTCGATAGTCGTGGCTCAACGATAACCATTTAGTCGCACGGCGAGGTTGTCACATATGCTTTAGTACAAATGAATGAATGATTTTATTCGAATAAAACCATTCGATAGTTGAAATCATTCATTCATTAACCATTCGATAGTCTAATTCATTCGATAGTTCCCATCGCTAGTGATGAGGATCCAAAACCAATACTAAAATTGCTGTAAATCGTTACTCTCTTATTCAAAAACGAATATCTCCCATAAAATTAGAGCTATTGCGATGAATCAAAAACCAAACTCTCGAGAAAAGACGTACCTAGATGATAAAATGATTTTTAAAATCCTTGCTTTGTTAACATATTCCACAGGGTGTTACAAACTTTCATCAAAATATCAACATTTTGTTTTCCCTCGTATAATTATTGAAATATGTAAACTTTTATGTTTAATTTAGAAAGAGATACTAAAAAGTCAAATGATAGTAAAAAATCATCAAAATCGCCCCATTATAACAAAATTTATTAAACTTTAAAATACATCAAAATTTGAAGGTGCTTGTTTTTCGTGTCGCTGAGTGTATTTAGCAACAAAATAAATTATATAAAAAAAATTTCCATCATTTTTTGTTATAAAAACTACAAAGTGTCCAAAAATTGTAAAAAATATAATTTAGAATTTTGACTGTTACGTTTAACCAAGATAACATTCATCATCCAAAAATGTCTAAACGGTTTTAAAAAAAATATATCGACGGTTGGAAATCAACTTAAATTTGATCCATATTTATTTTAAGATATTTTTAAAACATGAAGCCAATGTCAAGGTAATTTACCTGAGTTGAAAATATGCAAAAAATTACGACTATAAATTTAATCCAATTGCGAAAATTTTTAACGTATTGTAGAGAAACAACAAGCGGTTATAAAATACCCTCCAAAACATAAAAACTGTGCCAAATCCTCCAAAAATAAACCACATCACATCTGACACGATCTCTAATAATAAATCGACTTCGAAAGCTAGGCAACTAGCGACAGGTGTTTGACTATTTTTAACTCGCCATCGCGCTTGTTTTTTCTCCTTGTTTTTCGTTTCACTGATTCATAGACGGTTTATTATTTCCTCTTTATTACATAGTAACATATTACAAATATATAAACAAAACTCTTACGACTAAAAATGACTTAGAATAAGTACAAAACTCGTGGAGCGTCAGGGAAAGGTTAATATAGATTTTTGGGACGTTCATTCATCTTCTTCTTCGTCTGCTCCAATACACTTTGGACAAACGGGCTTTCCCTCTACTGCGTAGAAAGATTTTCCTTGAACGGGTAGTTTACAATCCTAGGAAGTTAAGAAGGCAAAATATTTTAGGGAGGTGACCCAATAACATTAATGGATTTTCGTGGTGATAAATAGGTTTCAGAAGTACCCACCACCACGATACTCACCCTGCAAACAAAACAATCCGGATGCCACTGGCTGTTCAAGGCCGAGATGTAGTTTTCCATGATGGCACGGTTGCAAGCGCCGCATTTTGGAGCGAACATGTCAAAGTAATCGTCGCGACAGTAAGGTTTTCCCTCCCTTTCGTGGAAACCGTCTTCCCCAAACTGCTTCCCGCATTGAGCGCAGAAGAAGTGATCCATGTGCCAGGTCTTCTCCAACGCCGTTACACATTTCTGGAAAGAATTAATGAAATACAAACTTAAATAAAAACAAACGCAGAGTATTCAAACGTACATCTAAGATAGGTCCGTTACAGTACGCGCATCTGGGGCTGAAGAGATTGTGGTAGTCTGGTTCGCAGTAGGGTTTTCCGTCGCGTTCAAAAAAGTTCCTCGTGCCCAATTCTTGGGTGCAGTGGGCACAGGTAAAGTGTTCCGGGTGCCATGTTTTGCCCAAAGCAGTGATCACTTGACCCACGATGGGTTTTTCGCAGGCGCTGCAACATCCCTTCTGGCTGGTGTTTACCCCTTGACGACTCATATCTGCGTGAAGATTATCTAGCATAGAATCCAAGTTCTTGGGTGGTGGCAAGGATCCCTGCGTCTGACTGGCTTTCGACGGTCGGGCGTATTGTTCGTTCACCGAGTGTTGTTGGGGCGCTTGGTTGACCTGAATAAAAAAAGCCTCTATTAAAAAACGAATTATACGATAAAAAAAAATGTTGGAATATATCGGAAAACTGACCCAGAAGAAGCCGATGCTGAAACTAAATTTCAATCGGGGCGATTTCCGAGGAGGTAAAGACCAATTCCTACGCGCTCCCCACCCTTCCCACTTAAAGATCCGAAGTCTAACAAGACATACGTTTAAAAATCCAGACTATTGAGTGTGAAGTGTGAAAACGAGACGGTGGGATGGAGAATGAACGCGTGGCCGTTTCCGAAAATACGTAAGTTATTTGTGGAGCGATTTTTAAGACCATTATGTCACAGGACTGGCTTGTTTTGGTTTTTGGCCGTTGTAATTTACAAACATTACGCTCGGCGAGGTTTGAAACCGTTTCAAATGGGTCAAACGTCGAGGATTTTTCGCGCTTTTTCAATGATAATTCGCTTGGAAGAAATAGAAAACTATTGATCTCGTCTTATTAGCGACGAGAATTCTGAGTTTTTCATTTTATTATTTTCTATTTCTCAGTATTTTTACAGTTAATTTTTTCAATTATCTTTTAATAAATTAAAAACGAGAAAATTATAAGTTAAAAAAAATATTTTACTGGAAACAGCTAGGCATTTCTTTAACGTTTTATGTTAAAATGGCTTGGTATTTTCCCCAAAACTGAAGAAGGAAGTTAAGGTAAGTGTCCATTTGATTACTCGATATGCCGATGATACATGTTTAGTATACAGGGTTGTTCACCACATACGACACGGAGTATTGTAGCTAAACTATGAGATTTTTACAAATTGTAAGTTTTGGGTTCGATGACGGACTATTAGAGGTACAATTTAAAAATAATTTTACAAGATACAGAGTGTCCCAAATAAGTAAAAAATATCAAAAGTTGTATTTTTTTAAATGGAACACCCTGTATATTATTGCATTTTTAGTTTCTACGATTAAAATAAAGGTAAATTTGATTAAGGTTTATTATACTTAAACCTTACCGTTTTTGAAATATTTTCAATTTTGTGAAATTGCAGTAAAAATTTTAAGGCTTCATTTCTCCAAGGGTATAAAAGTTTTTAATACTAAATATTTACTGTAGTTTATTTACTGATCAGTTATTGTGTTGCAATAATAAAAAATAATACTACCTTATACAGAGTGTAAAAATTTATTTTAAATAATTATTAGCTTCAAACGGCAATAACTTGTTTAATTTAAATGGAACACCCTGTATATTTTACGAGAATCAGATGCACAATTTAATTGTCTATCAAATTATATTATACCATTTTTACCTATCTCTTTAAGTTTCCGTAGAAAATGCATTTTCTTGTAATTTAGAACTTATTTATCAATATACCCATGGACTATTGACATTTTAGATTATTTTTAAAGATGTACCAAATTTTTAAAGAGTACAGATACTAATATTGTCGATATAATTCGTTTATTTCATTAAAAAAAAAAAAACTGTTTCAATATTTGTTAAAGAGGACCAATTAATATGATTCCAGTATTCAAACTACATTAACTGACTGTTTGCGTTGATTAATAATAATTGCTCCAAATACTAAAAAACTGAATTTTGTATGGGCATTAGACAGTGTGATAAAAAGTAACACCTTAAAAATGATATTTCATTTTTTAATAAATGCTTATTTATAACAACAGAGACTTTAATTTGATAACTTATTATTATATTGATTTCTGACTCAATTTATAATAATTTATTAACGAACACAATTAAGTATGTAATTAATTAGTATATGGGCGGAAGTAATGGTGTTATATTTAATTAATGGTATACTCTTTTATAAAGATTTAAATAGTTTTCTTTTTGCATACAAATGGGCTAGTAATATTATCGTTTTGCTAAAAACGATAATATTACTAGTCTGTACATTTTGTACATTTGTTGCTTTAAAAACAATCTAAAATGTCAATATTCCATGGATATATTGATAAACGAGGTCTAAATTATAAGAAAATGCATTTTCTACGAAAACTTGAAGGGATAGGTAAAAAATGGTATAATACAATTTGATAGACAATTTAATTGTGCATCTGATTCTCCTAAAATATACAGGGCATTCCATTTAAATTAAAGAAGTTATTGCCGTTTGAAGCTAATAATTATTTAAAATAAAATTTTAAACACTCTGTATAAGGTAGTATTATTTTTATTATTGCAACACAATAACTGATCAATAAATAAACTTCATTAAATATTTAGTATTAAAAACATTGATACCCTTGGAGAAATGAAGCTTTAAAATTTTTACTGCAATTTCACAAAATTGAAAATATTTCAAAAACGGTAAGGTTTAAGTATAATAAACCTTAATCAAATTTACCTTTATTTTAGGTAATTTTTAATTAAATTTTATTTTTTTTAATTTAATTACCTTTATTTTAGGTAATAATTATATTAGGTTTTTTAGGTTTTAAAATACGCGCCAAATCAAGGGCACTTCTATCTCCGCCATATTGGAAAAGGTTGAATGGCTTTGTGTGGAGGTGGTGGTGGGTCAGTATGGTGGCCAGCCGCGGCCGTGTTGCCGCTTTTCAACATGCCAGGTGTGACGTATTAAAAATAAAGTGCGGATTTTTATTCTGGGCTTTTTTGTTTTTATTTATTTTCTTAAGAACGACTTCAAATTTTTCGAAAGTGAGATAGCAGAAAATTCTAGAATTAACTGCTTTATTCAATTATGCTAATTCCAAAATATAGTGAAAGAGCCCATTTCTTTATTTTTAAGATTTTGATGGTCAAACATCAAAGAATATTCGTTATGTTTGGACTAAATTTTCTCTTTATAACGCTATCAGAAAATTATGGGAAAAAAAGTTTTGAGTAAACTCTTACGACAACAGAAAAATGTTAACTTTTACGAACCTCTAACAAATTGGAGAGATATTTGAAAGGGAATATTAATAGCATAGACTAAACTTTATTAAATCGTCAAGTCAAAAATAATCTATTATTTTAGTTGTGAAAATATCACATTTTCATGATAAATGTGTTATGATTATGTATCTTTATAATACACATATGAATGTGTTGCCAAAAAAAGAAAAATTAAATAAAATCACAGAGTCACTTCATAATTTATTCAAACGAAAATGTTTACTACATATTTAAGTAAAACTGATAAAAATACAGCTATATTTTTAACTATTCCTTGAACTATAGATATTAGTGGTGTGGTCAAATTTCTTAATTATATGCGATTCCACAAAATTAGGATTTAAAAATCAAATCAAAATCTGTTTCTATATAAAAAATGAAAACCAGCCACTGGATTAAAAATCCACAGAAACAATTTTCTCGGTAGCTCTATACATAAACATCAATTTGTCCTTTAGAGAAGTATGTTTTGATGTCTTTAATTTTGTTTTAAAGAAGTTCTATCAAATGTAAAATTAACTCACATTTTAAAATGCTTAAAAAAATGTTACATGAGATAAACTATATTTTTTTTCATCCGTAGTAAATTTTCTTTGAAAATAGTGCCCCACCACTGTATTTTATGAGATATGATGATTTTCTCATTAACCTTAGCGGACATTCAAGTTCGAAATTGAAAATAATGTCCAGCGTTACAAAGATAGTAGATTAAATTTACAAGAAAGAAAATCCAGAAAAGATCCGGTGGTTCTCAAAATTTAAGCAAAAAACAATTTTTTGACATTTTCAAAGTAAAATACCTCGGTTTTTTTGGACTTATCTGAAAAACGGTAAAGACAAAATATAAGAAACATATTTTATCGAGATCTACAAGCCCTGAAAATATTTGCACTTATTTAAGACTCGCCCTGTATAGGACGTCAGAAAATGAGAAACTTATGCTAATTATGGTACGCAAACAACAGACAGTACCTTTATGTTGGATAAATCGGCCATCAAGTCGTCCAACTCCCTGGTAGCTGAGGACGCCGCTGGTGCGTGTGTAGCAGTGACGTGCGACGATATCAGTTCGGTTTCACCAGGGAAACCCGTTTCGGTTTTGGTCTCCTTCACCGTTATCACCACTTTTTTAGGGCCGGTGTAAATCACATCTCTAAAAATCGAAAAGAAAAAAAACGTTGGCAGGTTACCACTGCCCGTGACACCGATATCGCAGAGATATTCTTGTTATTTTATTGGAAGATAAAATCGTTTGGTTGACATCTGTGTTAAAATAATAATGGAGACCTAGATCGTGTCGTATTTTGGTGTATTTGGGGATTTCTCGAAAAAGAAAACAGTCAAAAGTGTTACGAATGTTTTACACTGAGATGCAAAAAAAACGAACCAGAGAAAATTTTGCTCAAACTTTAAAGTGTTATATTTTTGTTATTTTTAGCCCTATTTTCATGATTTCTTTACCAAGCTGTATGTAATTACATCAACTTTCATTACTAAACTCAGTTTTTTGTAAACTTAACTTTAAAACACCCTGTGCAATAATTTCGTGGGTTAATTTTCCTAAAATATATTTTTGCGGTCAGGATCATGTCTCCTGAGCATTGTGTTTATTGGAACATGTCAATACATGCCTTGGTTATTTTTTAAGAGAGCGAAATGAACTTGCCAACAACAATTTGCAATTTTTTCAATTATCATTTCTTTTTGAAGTTATTTTTCAATATGACAAGGCGGCTTTGGTGATTATTGTGAACTATATACTACCACAGATTATACAGATTAAAAACGTTGTTTTTTCTTTATTGTTTTTCGTGGTTCCAATTTTCGGAATCGGGCACTAGTTAGGTTACTAGTTTACGCACATAACACGCCCACTTATGGCCTCTAATATTGTGAACAGCGCCTGACCGGCACAGTTATTAGAGAGATATCGCAAAACCCAATAGCGTCATGCAGTATTTATGCGTACCTTATCATGGTTACGATATGCGCGAGTCAATTTTTAACGCAACACCCGCTAATAACGTTACCGCCTGACGTAATTTGCGGATCAATTACACCAAGCGCTATTTCTAAATAACGTTTAAAAATTGCTTAAATGGACATGTGTGGGTATTAGACAACCGGGACCGGCCGGCGAGATCTTTTATTTTAGGTTATGTTTGAATTATTACTTTAGTTTTATTAGGTAATTTGATATTTAGGTAGCTGGGATTAGTTTTGATTAAATAAATATGGCCCAAAATATGGATTCCACCTCTTCCAATACTAAAGAACCTATAAAGAGTCTTAGGTTTACAGCAGATGACGACTTAGCCCTTCAAAGAGAATTTGTTGCTTGTTGCCCTAAACCGACTGGCAGACGTTGAACAATAAAGCACTGGAAATAAGCACTTTAGCCCTTTAGTTTTAAAATACCTAGTAAACAAAACAATTTCAAAGTTTTAAATTCAAAGTTAGGTTAAGTTTAAATAGCGGACGCGACGCGAACAGAATTCTTTCCGATCCGATAACTATAAATGAAGAGAGTTAATACCACCTCACGTAAAGGAAATAACACCTGGCCTTATTAACGTCCATGCACGCTATTTGGTTTAGCGATATCTCTCTATTACGCTGTTTATTGTTATTTTGCGCGAGTTTATTTTTGCGCACAAGAAATTTTACTCGTTTGCACATCGCCATAAAAAACAATTTTCGTACCACGAATTAGGGACAAGATTTTTATCTATATACTTATAGCACTGCCATTCTTTAAAAGATCAGCCTGGGGGCGGACTTTTGTTTACTTCATCAGCTGTACATACTTAGATATTGGGTTAGATTCCGTTTCATATTTTGTCGGTTGATTTTTGGTTTTAACTCTTTGATTTTTGGTATTATTTATTATTGTAGTGCAAAAAACTAATTATTTTGGTGTTTAAGTGACATAAACTACTATTAGATATAGGGTCACTCTCGGTTTCGCATAAAAAAATAGAAAAATTACACGTTGTGTAAGTGATTTAACCTAAATGTGCCCATACATTTTTTACTTATTGTGATTTTTGTGTGTGTTTTTTAAGACTAACAATTCATCAATAAAGCTTAAGTGGAGTGTGTTTTTGATGCTATGCCTCATCTTTGTTGTGTTCCTGGTGGAAAGGGTAGTTATACTAGGCAGCCTAAAGTGTCCGGAAGAGCAAGAAAAGTGGGTACGAGTTATAAATCAAGAGAATTCTATTGAAAATATCTTTAATAAATTTAAAAATAATATTCTCCCATGATGGTATTAATGAAAACTGGACAATTATGTTTATTTTATTCATATTGTGGAATATCCACTCCAAGTGTTGTTGGTTCAGCTTCGATAGATTCAAACACGTAAGTTGGTATTATGATCTAGGGAAAAATAAAGAATATGTGTATTAAAGATCATGAAAAAGATTATTATTTTGATTTCAAATTTTAAAAAAGATTTTTGTAAAGACAAGACTGATACAGTTTAAAAGAAGAATGTGTTTTTGTTTGATAATATACCTATAATGTATGTCAAGTTGTCAAGCATAACATATATTTTTGTTCAGTAATTTTTAATGAATAGTGTTGATTATTTATAATACCAAATTAATATCAAATATTTAAGTGATGGCTGAATACAATATGAATAAAATAACAATAAAATTGGTATATTTGCATAATACAAAATTAAGTTTTAAGAATAAAGGTGTTACTAAAAATACTAAGAAATTCATATTTCTTTGTTTTAATTGGTCGAATGTTATTTACATTTTATGTAAGAATTATACCGTATCATCGAAAAAAATCGGCGTCTAGTTGGCTTGGAAATGAACATCGATGACATTCCCTAAATAACTGTACACATAAAATAATTAACTAGAATTTTACAATCTTGGAAAATTTGATATTCTTGAACCTTGTTTCTAAATATTCTAAATTTTTTGATTTTCTTGGGATTTAGGTTCGGGAAAAACGCTGATTAAGTTTTCATTTGGTTTTTCATTATTTTTATTTGGTTTAAAAAAAACGTTTCGGCCTTCATCAAAACATTATGGCCTTCATCAGTGTTGTGTCATATGAAAAAAATAGTGTCGAATATAATCCAAAAAATTACATATAAAATATTTACACCGCGCACATAATGTTTACTGCGTACTGCGTACTGCGTACTCCATAGTCAATGTAGATAATTTTAGCGTTAAGAATAATAATATTAAAAAATATGTGGTTATCTTTTGATAAGTTTATATTAGTTTATTAATTGCCGTAAATATTATGAGGTGTGAATTATATTGTATATGTAATTTTTTGGATTATATTCGACACTATTTTTTTCATATTACACAACACTGATGAAGGCTATAGTTAGCCGAAACGTTTTTTTAAACCAAATAAAAATATTGAAAACCCAAATGAAAACTTAAATCAGCGTTCCCGAACCTAAAAATCCCAAGAAAATCAAAAATTTTATATTAATTTTACATATAAAATGCCAGCGATCTTCATTTCATAGCCATCGCTGACGCCTTTTTTTAGATAATATTGTATTATTTGTAAATATGATTTTTCGAACATTGATACTTGCAAAATATACATATAAATTTTGTGAATGCAAATAATAATACATCACTATTAGTAGATATTGAATGTTTTTTGTTAAATTAGATCGATTTTCAAACCCCAAAATTTAAAATATATTTACATTTTACCCATTATCTTAAGTACCTATACATTATTTGTACATTGTAAAACATTTGCTGCATTTGTATGGTTCATAGTTTATTTGCCAAAGTATTTATTACTATAAATAGGTATATATGTTGTAGTTATTAACTGTATATTATGTATATTTCATGTAAACTATATCATTTTTAAAATACAAACCAAAAATCTGAGGAATAATTATGTTTTCCATGTTTTCTACAACATATTTATTAATCCGTTATATCTAACTAGCGTGACGTCATAAATCTCGTCCGTAGGCTGATCTTTTAATAGAAGGACTGCTTATAGTATACCTAATCTGTGATACTACTATGAACTGCCCATCATGTTCGACGTTTGGGAAATGCTTGGCAGGAGGGTTAGAGGTCGCGAAGCGGTACCAGGGGTGCAACTTTGTTCATGTTTCAAAGCGATAGCAAAGTAATTTGTAGCTTGATGCACTATGTTCAGTAGCAACATCGATTTGTAGCGATATTCTGATTTCTCGCTTTGTGGCGAGGCGACAGTCTAGACACGTGTGCAAGAGTGTGATAGTGATACCATATTTCGCAGCATTTGAGCGACACTAGTTTTGCAATGAACATAGTATCGATCTGGTTTCGACATCGCTTCTAAACGATCGGTTGCTAACTTGAACAAAGTCGCACCCCAGCTTCATTAAATAAACTTCGTTTGTTCCTTAAAGAAGAATGGGAAAACATAACTCAATATCATATACATATGCAGCCTCAATTACAGTATGAACGGACATATACAGGCAGTTATAGTATCCAAGGGAGGCAATACAAAATATTAGGATATATTTTACAATTTTTTTTTTCTGTTTGTGTAGTTGAGTATTACAGATGTTTTCTTTAATATCGTTGGTTCTGTTAACGTTATTAATGTTTATTAAAACCAGGACTATATCTTTAGTCTTTAACAATTTAACATTGGAAATGTTTATGTTCGTATATGGGGGCCAAATTTCGAATTTTCTTTTTCAATTACATCAAAAAGTAATGATAATTGAAAAAATTGCAAATTGGTCATGATCAGCTCATTCGTTACTCAAAGAAAATGCTCAGGAGTCATGGTTCTGACCGTAAATATATATTTTAGAAAAATTTATGCACGCAATTATTGCGCAGGGTGTTTTAAATTTAAGGTAAAAAAAACAATCCTTCGATTAACCCTGTATAATACACTGAATACTGAAGTTTATAAAACAGTTAGTTTACGAATTAAAGCTGATAATAATAATTATATACAGCTTGCTAAAAAAATCATGAAAATAGGGCTAAAAATAACAAAAATATAACACATAAAATTTGGACTAAAACATACCGATTACTGAAGTAAATATCTCTCTAATGAGAGTGTTATCATCCATACTGTAAAAGTAATAACTATATTACGGGATTAATGGGTTACTTACTTAGTAATTTACTACTCAATTTGGATAATCATGATTTTCTTTAGTAATAAATGGTTATAATTTTTGTAGTGGTAACTATAGGATTATTTTTCAGCTACAATGATAATTTTAAAATATGTATAAATGTTAATAATTGTTTTTAAATAATTTAACCTAAATAATTATTGTGTGGTAGAGATATAGTAACAGTTAAATTTTATTCTATTATAGAGGTCAATTTTTAAATTACCATTATATTACTACCATGCACCAGTTTGCATTTAATATTAATGAACACTTACTCTTCCAAATAAAGGTACTCCGAATAACGCATGTTATTTCTAGAAAACAAACACTAAAAATCACTTAAATCCCATATACAGCTAGAAATATATAACTGAATTCAGTCACTATATTTCCTTACTTAAATAAATTAATACATTATATTAACTTATTCTGTCGATAGTGTACTACATACTAACTACTAGATCTTAAATAAATATCGAGAATGTAAATAAAAATATATTTATGCAAATATATACAAAACAAATAATGTAAGGTCAGCTGTTCCATATAAGTGAATGAATAATTTTATGATGTGAGCTGACATAATAGGATATCCTAAAAATATGCTGTAATCCCTGTGTAATAAAAAAAACTATCGGTTGTACAGAGGAAACTTAAAAAGTAGTTAGTAAATATTTTTGCTTAAGAATTTTTGCATAGTCGACTGGCTGTCTAATAAATAGGTTGTGGTTAAAACTTCAAACTGATACATTTCTGATATACAGGGCCGTCCCAGAAATAAGTGCAAGTATTTGGGCGGTAGATCTCGATAAAAGAAACATATTTTCTCTTTATTGTTTTTCAAATAAGTCAAAAATAACGGAGTTAATTTCCAAAAAAATCATTTTTTGCTAAAATTTTGAGAACCGCTGGATCTTTTCTAGATTTTCTTACCTATGTAATAATAATATATCTAATACCTATGTTGCCATATTACCAAGAAATTGTTTTTTAACTAAAAACTAAAAAAATCCAAAAAATTTCGAATTTTTATTTTTTTTTTTTCACGAAAAAAAAACTCATAGGCGTGTTTCTGGGGTTGAACTATACTACCAGTTAAAATACTTGCACTTATTTCTGGGACACCCTGTATATGTTTTTTAAAACCGTGGTAAAATCATCCTGTGAGAGTTAAATCTATGAAATACATAGATGTACTTTTTACTGGTTTGGTTTGGTTTGATACACAATAATAATAACAATAATTACAATAAAAATTATGACAAAGTAATATTAAAAGCAATCTAAATATAATTTAACAGAATTACATACTATATACGAACTTTTCCATTAAAATTTGGCATCGTTGCTAATTTGTGGGGTCATTGCCAATTTTTCTAAACAGGTGTTTTTTCCACTTTCAATGTAAAGTGCCTTTATTATCGAATTAAAAAAATACTAATATGAATATGGTGGCAATTATGACGGCAATTTTTATGCAAAAAGATTGTTTGTACAAGATATTTATGACATATCCTGTAAATATTGTCGCAGAATGCCAACATCGACGAGACATATTACTACACTACAATAAAAAAACGACTTATTTGTGTGTGAAAAGAAACAAGCCACATATATTAATTTACAAATTGGTACTGCTTTCTGTTTTTTACTTATTAGTAGTAATAATATACCATATATTTGTATGGTATATTATTACTACGTATTGAGAATTTGCTTTAGGTATTCAATATTTTTATGTATATTTTCTTAAGTATTCTCATTATTTTCTTATTTCTAAAAAAGTAAATTTGAGAAAATAAAATTTCAAGAACAAGAATTTAATGAAAATGAACATCTCCCAATAAACAACCATTTGTTTATTTATTGAGCCTGTCTTTGAATTTTATTAAATTGTATATATTATCCATTTGCTTTGATCCTAGCACAGAGTTATATGTAGATTCTCAAACATTGGATGTAATGAATTTTGAGATAAAGGCATATTTTCACTGTAACTTTTTTTAATTTTCTTATACTTTTTGTATTTGAAATTTGAGTACTAAGGACTTCCTAGCATTTTTTAGCTATTTGACATTATTATTCTAGATTTTAATCAATAATTATAAAATTGCAAAAGGTTTTAAATTTGCATGTTTAAAGTAAAATTTGTATAACTAATATTTAAAACTGTTTTACCGGAAATGACTACAACTTTTGAAAATGACACTCTAAATAGAATGAAATTTCACATGTCAACTTTTGACATTTTGGTTAAGTAAAAAAATACCGAGAGTATCATTTAAAAATAAAAAGTTTTAGTTATTTCCGGTGAAACAGGAAGTGACCGAAAACAATTGAATACGTCAATCAATCCTGTCATATACTAATATACCAAATCTCGTTTTTTTATCTGACAAAATAAAACAGTTCGGGGCAACGGCCCAGCTACATCGAAACACCGGTTCCCATTAGAACACCGAAGTTAAGCGACGTAAGGCGATACTAGTGGATGGACGGGTGACCGGTTCGAAACTCTGTATCGTGCTGTTGTCCAAAAAAAGGCAAAAGTGTAAAATCTATTGACACAGACTGCTCATTCACGCTGGTTCGAGGCCGGATGAGATCGGATATCTCGTGAGTAAGAGTCGATTTAGACACTTGCCAAGTCGGTAGGCCATTGACCATGATATGGCCGAGGACCGCGGTTCGGATTCCGCGTAAGCAAAGTAGGCCCCGTCCAGATTAGCCCTGGCAGCAAAAAAGAGACGTTAACTGAAATCTTAAAACTGAAAGTTATAGAGGTGAGTCACTTTTGAGACGCACCCGGTATATATTTTTAAAATATGCTTAAAAAACAGAGATTTTATAAAGAAACGACTTTTGGTGACTGACTTTTAGGATTACCGCAACTTTTGCCAATCAATAATACACATAATTGAAAGAAAACTTCGCAACTATATGACTTACCCGTGATCCAGTTCTTCTAGCAAGTCATCCACAGATGGCCTGTTTAGACTATTCTGTGCGCTGGATGGTCTGGAGTAACTTGCTGGACTCCTACCGCCAGATCCGCTGTAAGCTCCATTGTAACCGCCTGGCGATACAGCGGTACCATTTAAACCGTTTTCTGAAAAATTAGGATTTTTTTAATGTAAGTTTTAAATTTTTAAAAAGCTCAACGTAAAAATATTACAAGGCGTTAAAAGGTACTTAAAACCGACATCTGGATGATGTCCAGAATTGAATTTATCGCCCCGATTAGTGGATATTTATGATGTTAATTTGGTATGGACAAACAAAATATTTATAAATCAATATGAAAATGGACAATTAGGCCAGTCAATCTGGAGGTTGAGGTGGAAAAAATTAGTAACCAACCGATCTCAACGGGAATGAGTGGATAATGATCTCTTATTTAACCCCTCAAAAGTCCCATTCGGTCCCAGTGGGGGAAGTTTGAAAAAAATCGCCGCCATCCTGGATTTGTTCGTTTTTTTTTCAAATATCTCCGTTTGCATAACTTTTTTCGAAAAAACTAAAGATATATTTTTTGTAGAGAATTCAATTCAGAATATTTTACCTTCAATAATTTTTTTTTTCTAAAATAAATAGTAATAGAGATAGAGCAATTTTTTACTATACGTTTTATACATTTTCCAGTTTTTTAAACCAATCAGCTATAATTTTTGCGTTAACAGCATAGTGTTAATATAGATAAACCAAGTATAAATTTAAGCATTAAAACAATTAAAAATAACGTTTGAATATTATTTATTAAATAAAATTATTGTTAAAAAAATTATTATTAAATTAAAGTTGTTAAATAAAATCTGTTATGGGGTCATCCTGAGCGTCATTTTCGTCCTCAACTAAAATACAAACGTTTGTGCAACTGATTCCGTAGCACTGACCACACTTTGAAGAACATTTAATAGCCAGTTTTCTACAAGAGCAATTTTTAGTCCTGAGTATATGGAGTTTTGCAGAGTCCTCAGTTGGAGGCAAATTAGCTAAATTAAAGGAGTATTAAGGGCTTGTCTTGATGCAATCCTATTGTACAGAGTGTATCTCAGATGATTAATATGTTTAATATACCTTGGGCAGTGATATAGCTTTAAAAGATCATTTAATCCTGACTGAAGCCAGTCATCTTTGTTAGCATTTTTTCCTAAAAATACGTCGAGATATTGATAAAGATCGTCATCTTTTTTCAGTATCGACAGGCAAATTTTGTTTTCTTGTTCTAGCCACTGCCCAAGCTATATCAAATATATTAACCATCTGAGATACACTCTATACAATATAGGATTACATCGAGACAAGCCCTTAAGACTACCTTTAATTTAGCTAATTTCCCTCCAACTGGGAACTCTGCAAAACTCCATTTATTCAGGACATACTATCGGGTAACTCTAAAGATATATCTATTATAGGAAATGTTATAAATTGTATTTTTTAGATTCAAGAATGGATTTTAAAGAGACTCAATGCTCTAAAAATTGCTCTTGTAGAAACTGGGTCTTAAATGTTCTTCAAAGTGTGGTCAGTGCTACGGAATCAGTTGCACAAACGTTCGTATTTTAGTTGAGGACGAAAATGACGCTCAGGATGACCCCATAACAGATTTTATTTAACAACTTTAATTTAGTAATAATTTTCTTAACAATAATTTTATTTAATAAATAATATTCAAACGTTATTTTTAATTGTTTTAATGCTTAAATTTATACTTGGTTTATCTATATTAACACTATACTGTTAACGCAAAAATTATAGCTGATTGGTTTAAAAAACTGGAAAATGTATAAAACGTATAGTAAAAAATTGCTCTATCTCTATTACTATTTATTTTAGAAAAAAAATGATTGAAGATAAAATATTCTAAATTGAATTCTCTACAAAAAATATATCTTTAGTATTTTCGAAAAAAGTTATGCAAACGGAGATATTTGAAAAAAACGAAAAAATCCAAGATGGCGGCGTTTTTTTTCAAACTTCCCCCACTGGGACCGAATGGGACTTTTGAGGGGTTAAATAGGAGATCATTATCTACACATTCCCATGGAGATCGGTTGTTGTATTTTTTTTAAATGGAACACCCTGTATATTATTTTTTTTTTGATTAAGGTTTATTACACTTAAACCTTACCGTTTTTGAAATATTTTCAATTTTATGAAATTGCAGTAAAAATTTTAAGGCTTCATTTCTACAAGGGTATTAAAGTTTTTAATACTGAATATTTACTGAAGTTTATTTATTGATCAGTGATTATGTTGCAATAATAAAAATAATACTACCTCATACAGAGTGTCTGAAAATTTAGTTTAAATAATTTCTAGCTTTAAACGGCAATAACTTGTTTAATTTAAATGGAACACCCTGTATTTTTTATGAGAATCAGATGCACAATTTAATTGTCTATCAAATTGTATTATACTATTTTTACCTATCGTTTCAAGTTTTCGTAGAAAATGTATTTTCTTATAATTTAGACCTCATTTATCAATACACCCATGGAATATTGACATTTTAGATTGTTTTTAAAGCAACAAATGTACAAATATACAGGTGGTAAAAATAATAATATTACTAGCCCATTTTTATACAAAAAGAAAACTATTTAAATCTTAATAAAGAGTATAACACCATTATTTCCGCCCAAATATTAATTAATTACATACATAATTGTGTTAGTTAATAAATTATTCTAAATAGATGTGGATTTGAATCAGAAATCAATATAATAATAAGTTATGAAAATGAATTAACAACATGAAGGAAACTAATAAATTCATGTTTCTTCGTAAAAAGGTATCGGCCTACTGAAAAGACATTCTCATTCTACCATACCTATTTTTAGAGAATGAAATAATTTGCTACAGTGTGGGAGATAAAATATAGATTTTATCCGCCCCAAAGTCTACACACTAATTTCGTTGTTTAACAAGTATTAAGTTTAAGTTAATTTTGACCATTTTTATGTTTTATGATTTTATTTTCTTATTTACTTTTCTTTCTTAAAAATAAGCGGGACTTTTAACAATTATTAATGTTTGTATTTAGAAATTTTTAAAGACACCATTTGTTCATATCATTTGATGATCATAATGTACAGGATGGCTCAAAGTGGACGATTTTAAAGGGAAATACCTTTTTCTATAGGAGATAGACGAAACATAGGAGATAGTAACACTAGTTACAGTGATTTTAACAAATCACTGTAACTTTTTTGCTATGGAAAATTTTCTATTTTTATGAAAACATTTCCAAAGCACTTTTTTACGTAGAATTTAATGGTTTAAGTATTTTTTTTATTTGGGACACCCTATATATTTTTAATTAGCTGAAAAGAACTTAAAATTACCTTTCCAAAAATATAGCACACTTGATATTTTGTTATAGTCCCCTTCGAAATACAGAATTTATAAAAGTTTGACACTTTTAACTAGTAGGCTTTGGACCCCTTATTGATGATCTGCCCCTAATAGAACTCGAAAACATATTTTTCCAACAAGACGAGGCACCGCCTCAGAATGCTGAAGTTATCAGCAAATTTTTGCATTTAATTTCGAGAATAGTTGAATAGCTAACCAAGATCCCAGTCGTTGGCCATCGAGGCCGCCTGACTTAGTGCTTATGGGTCTAATCCTATGGATATTTTTGCGGAAGAATAAAGGTTCTTATTTTTAAATTGCCCGTATAATCTAGACAAGAATTTACAAGTACTTAGCGGTTATACGAGGGTTTCTTTTACCCCCACTGAGCTATACTCTGTTTTTTTTCTCAGGTAAGATTTCGACAGACGATGACAGAAGAAAAGCAGATGACGTCCCATACCAATCTATTTATTTTACTAAAAAAAGTTTCTAATAATTTTTAAGTTATCTATGGATGGGTTTAAATATAAATCCGTCATGCGTCGTGTCTTGTTTTTAACCAGTTTTATTGGTTTATTTAAAAATGACAGATCGTATTTCAATTTTATTGGTTTGACGGAACGATGAACGACAAACGGACGCCGATGCGTATGAACTCGCCTTTAGATTTTTGTCATTTTGACGTTTGTCAAAGTCTTGCCAAATTATAGGTTATAATTTTGTGTCAACTTTTGTTAAATACCCTGCGTTTTGGAAGATGATGCATTTTGATTTGTATTATTACGCGTGTTTTGTGTCTTTTGAAGTCAAGTGGAGGAAAAATCGAGTGAAAATTAACTGTAGACCCAGAGCACAGTTTATGGTTAATACTCGCCAGGCAGAAAGTCTTATACACCAATGAAGTTGCCATCGATAAAGTTTGTATACCATTTCGTCGTAGATAAGTGCATCTCGTATATGGTAGAAGGATCAAACTAAACACATACTAAAAACTGGAGTGGCTGTAAAATATCGACATCACACGATAGGTAAATAATGGATTTTAGTACTGCAGAAAAATAATGTCAAAAGGTAGGTACTGGTTTAAAAAAAATTAAGATTAAAGTTAATTAATCAACCTTTAAGGTATAAAATTTGGTAGGTGTTATTAATAAAATAGTTTGTTTTATTTACCTATGTTTTTTTATTTATTCCTGTGGAATATTACAAATTTGTATTTGTACATAAGTTATATTGATAAATATAATCATAAATGCGGGTAGTTTCATAAAGCTTGAAAGTAAATAATAGTTCTTTTTTATATTTTTTTGGTATGTAGTGTCTTGTTCTTGTTTGTTTTGTATTAACACATACCGTTTTTATTAAATAAAATAACTCGATTACATTTTTTCAGTTTTATACAGTTTTTTTCACAATATTTTGAAGTAATCACTTGTCATCTTGTCAATCAAATTTTAAATATTTCCTGCTATGCGTTCCAGTTGTACCAACTTATTTCTTTGTAAAATAAAATAAACTACTTTGAAATTAAAATGACAGACACATCTATCACTGTCAAGGATCTTCTCGTTGGACAGACTATAGAATTATTTTGCATTACAGCCGGTGCTGTTCAAAGCCTACTTATTGAAAGTGGGCGAGTTTTTAAAAACTCTATATCTCGAAGAGGAATCGAGCAAAATATCAAGTATGTTACATTTTTTGGAAAGGTAATTTTAAATTCTTTTCAATGAATTAAAAATATACAGGGTGTCCCATATAAAAAATCAAATTTTCTGTTGATAATTCCTGAATTATTAATTTTAAAAAAATTATACTTAAACCATTAAATTCTACGTAAAAAGGTGGTTTGGAAATGTTTTCATAAAATTACAAAATTTTCCATTGCAAAAAAGTTACAGCGATTTGTTACAAATGCACATTTTTGAAAAACACCCCGTAACTCCGAAACGGTAATAAATATCGATATGCGGTTTTCACCATCATGTTTTTGATAAAAATTGAGCTCCGGACTCCGATATTAGTTTTCGTCTATCTCCTATAGAAAAGGGTGTTTCTCTTTAAAAACGACCAATTTGACCCACCCTGTACAATCTAATAATAACGCAATTATATTTTCCATAAGAAAATAATATTAGTGCATTAAATACAAATTAAACACTCACCTGGCATATTTGCGTATCGGCTATTGCTCAAATTTTCCAGTAAACTATCCAGTTCCGAGAGATTGTTGCCGTAGTGCGGTTTATCGGCGGCACCACCTCCCGACGACCCGTAACCTCCGCCGCTGACAGTACCACCGCCGCTGCCGTAAGTTCGCGCGCCGGACGCCGGCTGGGTTTTGCCGTAAGTACCCTAAAACCAAAGAAGATATCCTTGTAAAAGCCACGAAAAGCTTAATGTAAAGTACAATAAAGAATAATCATAGGCGTACTCTTCATTTACTGCCAGATTTCCTATGAATAAATCTATGAAAAAATTGTATAATATATAGTTCATTTGTTTTATAAGTTTGTACTTGTACTAGCGTGTACCCGCGACTTCGTTCGCGTCGAATTAATCATTTGTAATGGTGATGATAAAGCAAAGCAAGAATTTCCATTAACATACAAACTGGATAAAATTTTCTCACATTTATGTCAGCATGAGAAAAAACAATATGGCGATATTATTATATAACTTGGTAATATTTGAGGGGTAGTTTCATCTCGTTGGAATTTGACTTTCGAAAAATCCGTTTGCCAAAAATAAGCTTTTTACGTCAAACAGTTTAAGCAGAATCGTGGTTAAGAAATTACCCAACTTTTTGGTTGTGAACACCCTGTATGATTTTTTTTTTCACCCCCTTAGAATTCGAGTTTCGAAAAATCCCTTCTTATCGAACTTCTACACCCTAAAGTCAATCCGTTTTCCAAAAATCAGCTTTTTACGTCAAGCGCTTTAAGCAGGATCGTGATTAATCAATGACCAGATTTTTCGAAACACCCTGTATACATTTTTAAAAATCTTAAAATATGTAAAAAAACAAAATAAAATATACGTATTTAAGCGTTTTTTCGGAAACTTGACCGTTTTTAAAATAAATAATATTGTAATATTTGAGGGGTGGTTTCACCCCCTTGGAACTGGAATTTCGAAAAATCCCTTCCTATCGAACCTCTACACCCTAGAATCAACCTGTATGCCAAAATTGAGCTTCTTACGTTGAGTGGTGTGAGCAGGATCGTGATTAATCAGTGAGTCAGTCACTTAAGGATTTTATATTTTAGTATAGATGAACTACTTATCGACTGAGTAGTAAATATTATTTTGAATTTTAAAACTAAGTCTAAAAAAATATCTAAAGTTAAATACCTCCGCCACTGACGTGTGGTAAGTTCTGTTAGGTATGAAATCACTACTTCCTTAAATGGAATCACGCGAAGCAGTACATTTAACATACAGTTCAAAAATATATTATGCAAATCTTTTATTAGGCATACCATTGCCAAAATTTTATTTTACTTCTTTAAAATCACGTAATTTCTTTTCAGCATTTCACAATATATGATCACAAGAAATAATTAAGTGAAAGATAGCTGATTAATTTTTTTTTAGTATTCATTATCAAAACCTGAAATTGACTTTGCTAAACTAAAAATGCTAGCAAATGTAGTACCTATATTATTGTAATTTATTAACATTTCATTAAAAGTTACTCATCGCAATATAGGGTGGGGCAGATTTATCTAAGTTCAACCTAAAGAAAATCTTGCTTCTTCATTATTTTTTTAACCGAAAATCGTGTATGTACATACAAGTTTCTGGAAATGTTTCAGGCATTATTCTTCAGCTTCTTGACATCAATCAATAATATTTAATTAATAATTAATAATAATTAATAATTTGAATCTTTATCGTAAGTTTAGTACTAAGATTAGGTTATTAGGAGCAGATATTTGGTTTCTTAAATCATGCAAAGCCAATTCAGTTTATCCTAGTTTTATTAAAGTTGATATTCCAAAAAGTAACGTTAGTGATAAGGTAGAGAAAATTGCAAAACCAAAAAGGCTTGATTTAGAAATCAAATTTCTGTATAGTAAACGAAGTATGCTTGAAATTGAAGCCTATGGACTTTACAAAAAACGTATGTAGAGTATGAATGTCGGTGTCTCTTTCAGAGAAATATGTTTGTGGTTATCAATTCAAAATTTGTTAAGAAAATGTCCATTTTGAATAATAAGTTTAAAAAATTAAAAAGCTCTAAAAACAAACATGTTTTCCAAAGAGGCATAAACATAGTAGAGAATCTTTCTTCGCAGACTTTAGGCTACTTGAGGGAATTACTGAACGCAAATGGTCTCGTCAACAAAACTGTGATTGAATATATTGAGCTTACATCGTTATGTATGAAACAAAATTGTTTTCAATTTAATAACAACTTTTTTGAACAGCGGGAAGGTACAGCAATGGGTAATCCATTGTCTCCATTTTTGGCTAATTTATTCATGAGCAGGTTTGAAGTGGAGGCTAAGAATCAGTTTGAGTATTTTCCAAGAGTATGGTTTAGGTATGTGGATGATATTTTTGCTGTTTTTGACACACATTCAGACACCATAGATAATTTTATTTCTAAGTTAAATAATCGTTTTCCTTCCATTAAATTTACGCATGAAATTGAGAACAACGACAGATTACCATTTCTAGATGTATTAGTTATTAGAAATACTAATAATTGCCTGGAATTTGATATCTATAGGAAAAATACGACCACACGCAGATATATTCCTAATGAATCACATCATAGTGTTGAACATAAAATGGCTAGTTTAAATTTCTTAGTTCATAGATTACTTAGTTTCCCACTTTCCAACGAAAGATATGAAATAGAAAAAGATTACATTAGGAATGTAGCGGAGTGTAATGGATATTCTCCTTCACTAGTTGATAAATTAATTAGAAAACGTAGGTATAGGTTAATGATTTCTGAAAATTCGACTTTTCAAGTGGAGAAAGATACGTCTAAACATTTTTCAATACCGTTTGATAGAGAGTTATCCCGTGGTCTAAAAGGAATTTTTAAGAATGTCAATTATAAACTTGTGTATAGTGCTAATAATAAATTACAACAATTATTAGGTAATCCAAAGGATAAAACACCTCCACTGGAAAGGTCGGGTATTTATGAAATTTTTTGTAAAGATTGTAATCAGAAATATGTTGGGCAAACTAGAAGATCGATATTAACTAGATTTAAAGAACATTTAGCTCAGATAAGATATGGTAGACCGGATAAACCTTGCGTTGCCGAACATATTGTTGATAAAGAACATTGTATAGATCTTGATAATTTAAAATTAATTAAACAAGTCTCAAATTACAGGCAATTAGATGCATATGAAAGCATCAGAATTAATAAATGTAAAGATAGTATGAACAGAGTCAACGGTCCAATTCCTTCAAGTTCTTTGTTCCTACTACTCTAGTGGCGGAAATTAACTGTTACGCTCAGCTGGCTCTGACTCGGTTGGCTAGATTTTGCCACGCCCACTCGGTACCTACTGGGCGAGTATATAAACGCTCAACTTGTAGACTGTACTTTAGTTTATAATCATCTGCTGATGATGCTAACATGGTTAGCGAAACGCGCGTCCAGTGTAAAAGTAAAAGTGTTTTGGTGTATTGTGGTGATTTAGTGTTTTTATTTTGCTGTGTATCACCAAAGGTTCCAACCCTCAACTGTAATGCTTAAAGAGAGACTAAATAAAATAAACTGACTTGGTTTTACAAGAGATCTCACAACTTTTTATAGTGGAAGAATTGTGTTGCTAGACTTGGCATTTTTTTTGTTTTTGATGGGATTTATTACAGTTTATTAAAAGTTATTCGTCGCAATATAGGGTGGTGCTGATTTGTCCAAATTCTACCTAAAGAAATCCTGCTTCTTCATTATGTTTTTTTAACGGAAAATCCTGTGTTTATGTAATTTAAATTGAACATCACCGACTTTTAAAGAATGAAGAAATGCTACGTTTCTGTGATAATAGGTATCTTATAGTTAGGGTTTCCATACAAGTTTCTGAAAATTCAGGACATATCCTTAAGTTAAGTTATTCTTCAGCTTCATGACATCAATCAGTGAAATAATAAAAAGTGTTTCAAAAATCTTTACATAAACCTATAGATCACACGCCATTTAAATTTGTACAGAAAACTACATTACAGAACACAACCGAGCACATAAAATTTAAATAATTATCATTATCCTTGTACGATTCATCCGGTATCACAAAAATAGCATCAGTTGAGTCACTTAAGTCGTGCTAAACTCAATGGCAAGAAATTTTTGATAAAACTTCAACTCGTGTTTACACGAAAATACGTGCTACAAAACTCCGGTTTGTTAGTTTCGCTATTTCTATGTTTTAGGTTAAGGACAATTTGAAAAATTTGTTTTTAGACTAATAAGAAAATTATGCGTATCGTTTGTTTGCTATACAGACTGTCACATGTCAGATATCAAGTAGTCGACTATTATAATAAAGAGTACCTACATTTAAGACCAAACCAAATTTATAAATACATGGTACCATAGACTTAAAATAAAATATAGACTACACTATTTACATCTCAACGTGGACAAACAACCTTTTTTGTACACATGTTTACTTCTGGGTACAGTCGACCGAGCCTTCCTCATCCAGCCTATGTTGTCACGTCTTTAATATTATCAATATTTTTTTTCTTGTTATACACATATATTGAGATATTAATACTACAGTTTAATAAAGTAGGTTTTAATATTCCATAGATGTATTAAATAGTCCTTATACTACTAAATTATAAGTCGGATACTGTTTAATAAGGATAAGTTCTTTACAATATGACAACACCGATTAGAGGCGAGGGAGCCTATTCATTCATTTATTACCTTGTAGTACGTGTCGCACGTGTGCGGTAAAGCTTTGTTGCCGCTATCTCCCCGGCTGTATTAACGCATTCTCTTAGCTTGTAGTCCTTAAGTGTTTATTTTATTGACTTTTTCTGTTCAGGAACTATAAAATATGGTTCGCCAGTGCCAAATTTGCAAGAAATTTGACTTAAATAATCCATTTAAGTCTTGAAACGACTTTGGACCGGTAGGCAACTCTCAATTTACCCATTGGCAGTCAGTGGCGTTGTTGTAGAAAGGCGCTTATTTAGATAATATTTTAGTAAAATGTAAAATCTGATTTTTTTCTTTTACATTACATTATTTACTTACTTACATTGTAACAAAATCATAATTATAACCCTGTTAATAATTAATAATATTTTTATTAAAAATATATTCCGGTTTATTCTAAAATTATCTTCAGAATCTAAAATAACATACA